AACAAGCATGTTTGATCATCTGCAGCACATGTGATTGCACAAGCGGTGCCTTACGTTGGCGAGTTCTCTTCAACGGCTCTGAAGGACTCAAGCCTGCTGCCAAAGAACGTTGCAGACATTGCAAAAGCAGCCTGCCAGGCTGGGCCAGGCTCTCTCAAGAGCCTTCGAGGAAATACAGACGCGTGCACGAGTGTACTGTGCTTCTGCAATGCAGGCACGCCCTACGTGACATTACGTGACCGAGAAGAGGCACCCCGGCCTTTGAAATTTGATGGTGTGCCCCATTGTACCCCAGTTAAACGTTTTCGCAGGCTCAGCAGAAGTTTTACCTCAACGTGAGTCTTTTCGCTTCGCCTTCCACTTGCACAGTGCTTTCGGATAGCAGCATGGAAATGCATGGAGCTATACGCCATTTGATGCGTGGCTCTAACACAGCTTGGTGGCAGCCGATGACCGATGATGAAAACGATACTGAATATGTTAGCAGTCCTAGCAATGTGGGGTCCCGAGGCTTCGAGGCTTCTAGTAGGGTCAGAAACTCTTGGCAGCCACCTTGCTGCCTCACAAGGTCCGGGCTTTGAAGACCGGTTGTGGGAGTAAGATCTTGCAATGAGATTTTGGCTCGGATTCGGCAGGTGGCGTCAAGCTGAACAGCATGACGTAGCTGTGACTGTCGAGCATTTTTGGGGGCATCTCTGCAAAGGCAGACGAATGCCAATAGTCAATAGTCCCTGGCCCGGTCGACATGTATGGGTCGGGAGTGTCAGCCTTGCAGTGATGATAGCAGCCGTGGCGCAATGATCGTAATGATCACGAAGGAAAGATGCCACACGCTTGTTCTGCTTAGAGAGGAGATGAGAGGAGCAGCTTCTCGCGGATTCGCGTGCCGAGTCTCGTCAGGCTGACCCGGCAAAGTTCAAAAACGATCTCCTGAACTGGTCGGGAGCTCAGCCAAAGACCGAGGAGAGCAGGAGACACTTTGGGAACGGCTGTGAAATGATTATGGCATCTGTGTGAAGCACGAAAGGACGAAGCAGGTGCGCCTGGAGCATGCTGCCGAGCAGGCTGGAAGCACACCAGAACATCGCAGAACATCGCCATGTAACATCGCAGATCATCGCAGAACATCGCAGAACATCCCTCATGCTCGAATTGGGAGGCCACTGCGGTTGCAGAGGCTTCCTCCCACATCCTGTCGCAGGCGCCGAATTGAATGTGCCCCTTTGGGGCGCTGCTTGGTTTTTGCTACAGACCTTCTTGAGTGAGGCCCGCATGGATATTGATGAACACGCCGTGCACGACTCAGCGTGGCAAAGCAGGATGCAGCCGAAGAGTGCGCCGACTCCCACTGCACTTGACTGCGTACTATTCAAGCTTTGCCGTGAGGCACATGGCGAAATGACCGATAAGCTTCGACTGGAGCTGCATCAAGAAGTTGAGGCGCGAAGCACCGTCCGCACCAGCAATATTGTGCAGAGTCCGCAGCTTTGTGCACATTTTTTCGTCTCCAGTCTTGCCATATTTGGGAACTGATTGTGAATCTGGGAATGCGGGGGTTGCTTGTACTTGCTTTAGCTGCTTCCCATGACAACGCCCGTTGCGCCAGTACTCCGTATGCCACGGTTCGTCAGATTCTGTGCATTACACCTCTCTGAACTGGCTGAAGATGGCTGAAGCCAACGAGCTTTCGGATCCGTTGGTCGCCTCGTCAGGCAGTCCACCTGCTACATAAAGAGGAGATCCGGCTTGCAAGAGCTGAGTTTCGGCCTGAGGGGGCCGGTTGCTTGTGACCTTCTCGACATGTCGTGACGCATCTGGCATGTCTCCTACAACTTGCCTGCAATGGAATGGCAGGTTCTCTGTACAGCGTGATGCACATGCCCTGAAGGAGGCGTGGGGAAGTCGCAAGCGATGGAGACTTTGTGTTTTTGACGAGCGCAAGTTGCGGCGGCGCGAGCGCCAGTATGCGCAGGAGCTGAGCGCTGCTGAGGCACCAAGCCCGTCTCTTTTGTGCAATGTCAGATTCAGATTCAGATTCAGATTCTGGAGTACTGAAGATTCAAGAATCTTAGAATGGAAGGCCAGCCAGCACTCCTGCGAAGAGGGCACGAGCCCCGGGTGGCTCACAGATCCTAAGTTGCTGAACATCGAAATCCTTCGGAGGCTGGCAGAAGGCTCGGTTGGAGGAGGAGGAACTTGAGGCACCCCTGGGGGGAAGTTTTTGCCGATCACTTCTCCACTTCTCCCAAATTCTCCATTCCTTCGCTGACAGGCCTTCTCCACTCTGCTCCGCCTGTGGCCCAAAGCTTTTATGCTTTCTAACGGATGTTCACTCAGTGATCAGCGAGTGCATCTTGCAAACTCCATCAGGATCGGAGGTGATCCAATCGGAACAAGCACTCCACGTTGCACGCAAGGAGGGGCAAGTGAGGTCAGGCACACGGGCACCCGAGATGCGGAGATGTGAGTATTCACAGTCTTCCACGTCTTTCCATGGTCTCGCCAGTCCAGGTTCAAGCAGGTGAATGACCTTCGCCAGAGAGAGGCCGTGCCCAAACTTGTAAGAACAAAGCGCGCCAATCGCATGCCAGAAGTCTAATGAAGGCGTCAGGGAACGGATTGAGCGAAGACACGCAACCCTCATTCACACACTTCACCTCTAAAGCGAATGAGCTCTCGATTACGCATGTCTACATGGCTGGTTTAATCAAGGTGAAGGATAAATCAAGACAGATCATTTGTTTTTATTCCCTCGTGTGCTGCGTTCCCGGTAAGGCAGAGGAGCAGAATGCTTGCAGCTCTTTGACCGCGGACCGAGATCACTGGCGCGCTGGGAGCCCTGGGAAGCTTGAAAGTTTATGTCCAATGTCCAGTCTTCGGACCAATGGCTCCAAAACAGGATCCTCTGGCATTGTTTGAGAGATGCCCAAGGCGCGCTCTGAAAGCATGGCTCCAGAGATGGTGGAGGTCCGACAGCCTTTGCTGCCTTTGTCATGAGTGTTGAGCCGCAGCGCAGCCAGGAAGTGAGCCAGGCCGACATCTTGCCTAGGGACTTTGGCTGCTAAGACGCTTCCAGCGATGACGATGTTGTGACGGATGACACGGGCGGAGGCATGCGCCGAGTTGCGGTCGGAGCTGGGAGCTGCGGAGGCTGAGGCAAGCTAGCAGTTTTTTTAAATCAAAACTTGGACAAGAAGCCTTAGTAGCCTTGCTGCTATGGTTTTCATCGTGGCCGGCCACTTGTCATGCCCACGCCATGGGTGATCTCCGTGCGCATGAAGTCATGAAGCTCTGCAGCTGCGCTGCTCCAGGTTGCACCGCTCAGAGCCAAATTGCAAGAGGCCATCAGAGTTTGGGTGTATTGTGCTCAGGGCACTACATCTGTGCATTGACCGTTTGTGCTTGGCATGAAGGCCTTCACATGCCCCTAAGCACGATCATCAAGCCAACTCCTGAACCCCAGCTTCGAGTCGTTGCCTTCCGGGGCTGTGAACATCCGCGGTCAATGTGTGGTGATGATGGCAGGTGTCAGAGGAGAATTCATCGTTATTGCAGGAAGGCCGAGGACCTTTTTTTGCCGTCAGTGCTTGCTACCAAGATGCCTTCTTGAGGGCGTGGTCTCAGAGAGCAGCTGGTGGAGTCCCTCCGAGAGGCCCCGAGCCGGGGCAGACCTCTCCTTTTTGCCGCTCCATTGGACCTTTTTCCTGAGCATGGAAGGCCTCACGCAATGGGGACCGACTCCTCGCGTCATGGGAGAGGCCCCTGGGTCCTGATGAGGTCCTCTTCCAGCTGCAGCATGGTGCAGTCGAGAATCCGAGGTGTAGAGCCGCTGACGAGGAGGTGTCCTACTTGAAGAAGGAGCTGGCCCAAGCTCGCGAGGCTGCCTGTGGGAGGGAATGCTGGGGGGTACATGTCACATGAGGATTTTTTCGCACCCTCTCTGTGTGCACCTTCTGTGAGAGGAGGTCGCCGAGGTTGCAGAGGCGCTTGTGGAGGAGCAGTCCCAGGCCTTCCTTCGAAGAGCCTTTTCATTTGCTTACCCTTTCGGTGTGAGACACTGTCCTGCATGGGGCCACTCGGTGAGGCGTCGGATCTGCGCTGCCGTATGCGCGAGCCTGCCCCTCATATGAGAGCTGTGGGACAGTCCGGGGCGACCTCGTCTGAATCCGGCTTTCTGTTGTGCGAGTGGGATTGTTCGGATTCCGGTAGCGTTTCTGAGCTCCGAAAGGTCGGGTCTCATGCCATCGCTTGCCGCGGGCCGCGCGCTCAGACCTGGCACCTCCCGGCGCTGCAGCGTGCCTCCGATGTCTCCCTGGGCAGGAACGCCGGAGCTGTTCCTCAAAAGGAGGAGCCCGACCACACATCGTGAGGCTGATGCTGCAGCCACAACCGGTCTGTTTGCTACGTAAAGAGCTTCTTGGCACTCCAGGCCATGCCGCAGCCGTCTCCGACACCATCGATCTGGAGTCCTGCGCACGATCTGTGGCCTAAGGCTTGGGCACGTAGTGTGCCGCAGTTCCCCCATGCTGGCTATATGTTGCCCTCTAAACTTCCCTTTTTGCCACAATTCAGTTCATGCCATGCCCGGTCTCAGTGCAGCCAGGAGCCCCCGATAGCCGCTCGTTCGAGTCTTGAGCCTTTCGACAGAGGTGCCCTCCAGCCCTGCGAGCAGCTGGCAGCCTCCTTGCTCGCCGGAGTTCCTGTCACCCAAGCCCGAGCGCCACAAAAAGCTCCTGAGCGAAGTGCTTTTGGCCTGTGTGGGTGCGCTCTGCCGCGCTGACAGAGTGGGTTTGCTATCTTGTGTGCGCTCTTTGCCTCACAAGCCGTCAAAGAAGAAATGCCCGTGGCAAGCTGAACCATATCAAAAATAGAGTTCATCTTATCCCGTGCTCCCGAATCCGGAAACATGACCAATGAGCAGCTGCACTGTAATGTGCGTAATGCATATGCTCTGATGTCTCTTTTCTGTGCATCATCGTTTCTTTACTTCTTGCAATGCCATGGCACACGGCTCTGTAAACGTCAAGGCCGCTTGTCTAGAATCCACTCTCTCAGAGAGAACCGATGTGGTTTGTGGTCCAAGGACCATTCGGTTCCCTCTCATATGCAGAGCAAGTCCTAGATGTTTGCAAAGACTCGTTTCATATGGTTTAAGATTTGAGAGCGAGGCTTGGTTTGAGGCCTGAGCTGAAGATGGTCGTGATGGCCATGGGATCGTGTTCGGTTTCTTTCAGATTTTGTAGTTTCATGTGGTCTCCTGTTGGTTTGCCGTGGTTCATGCCGTGCATGGCGCTGAGTTTGTTTCGTGATCGGTTTCGGTACGTTCCGCAAGTCTCTTGGCTGTTCAGCCTAAGCTAAGGCGGCTAACGATGGCTAGAGCCTGCTGCACCTCTTCAGATTGAATCCCAGCAGCACTGCACCGAGGTTGCTCTTGTTGCGGGTACTGCTGCAGCCTTGGGGTCAGCTTCTCATCATGGGCCGCAGATCGAAGTCTGGCCCACAACAGCTGCTTCCATTTCTGTCCACAGGTTTGTTGCTGGCTTGCATTTAGCTTGGACCCGCCTGTCACCGCGTGCAGTGGACTAAGCATCACGGGAACAATTGCTTGATTTAGCTGGTGTGCATGTGCCAGCGTCTTTGTGAGTTGTTCAGTCCTTATCGCTGAGGTGAGACGCAAGATACGCCGCGAAAAAAACCACAATGGCCAGGGGGGTAACGGGGATGCCAGGAGCGGCTTGGGTCCGCTATGAGTTCGCTTACTCCTGTCACAGATGCACCTTTGTAGTCGACGCTTTCAGTCGCCAGGACGACACCAATAGGAGTTGTTTGCGAGTGTGGTGCCATCATTCAGGGCAAGTGCACCCCCGAGGACACCGCCTGAATGTGCATGAGACTGTGTGGGCCTAGCATGCCACATGGACCTGCATGGAAGCCTGGCAGGAGATTGCCAGACACAAAGCTTCCAACCGCCACAAGCGCAACATGCTGCGGCATAGCAGCAGGGAGGCGCCCCCCATGAGACTGTGCAGCTGATCAGGATCAGATCACATATGTCATCATATGTCATCATATGCTTCACAGCCGGCTGCTCTCCAGAAGCTTGTGCCTTCCCCGGAGTATTGCGGCTTTCTCGGTGGCCACACGGACCACATGCTGGAGAGTAGGGGGCTCACGCGGCCAGCCATGGCAGCGGCTGGAGCTTGAACAATGGGCAAGGCAGCCCACCTAAGCCCGCCGATTCTTCAATTTTGACCAGCAAGCCGTGTTTGGAAGGGAGACCCCCGTCCACAACTTGCGGGGTGCAGGTCACCGGCTTTCGCAGCGCCTTCTTTATTGACACCGCTTCGAGGCAATAAGCTTTGCGAGGTTTTTGCTGTGAGCAGTTGAAGTCGCTCCGGCCTCTGGGAAAGCGACTTGCGGAACTTGCGGGGAAGGCTGCTTTCTCAAGGTGGACGGCTCGGAGCTTGGCATTGCCGCACCATCAACTAATTCAACTATCCAGCAACATTCGGTACGCGGCTACTGCCGCCAGAGAGCTTGGCAAAACAGCTGGTTGTCTTCTGAGAACAAAGCTAAGGTCCCGAACCCTAGCGTGGTGGACGAAGGCCCGCTGCCGCAATGTGCCAGAACGTGTGCCTCGGTCTTCGAACCTGTGCTTCTCCTACCCAGGCCCTGCTTCTTTGTGCCAACATCCCGCTAGCCGCCGCATTGTGCAACGTCTGGCGCTGCGTCCGCTGCGGTTCTGTGGTCCTCTGCACGGCGATCTTCGTAGCGCGCGTCATGCTGCAGATGAGCTGGTTTTGGTCCCGGGGAATTCCCTGGAAGGAGGTGGTCTTTGAGGTGTGCAGTTGCCACGAAAGATTTTGAATGTCCCTTAATTCAGTTTGGTCACGGCCGAATGTTATTGCCCCCGTAGTCATTTGCCAGTGTGTTTCCAGGTAAGCCAGGAGTTTCTACAAATATACTTTCGGACTCTATCCAGCTTCTACCGTGGTTCTACAAGTCTGCCATTGATTCTACCATCTTCTACCCATGCCCTCCTTTCAGGCTGGGTGCGTGATCCCGATCTCCATTGCTTCCATGGCAAGGGGTGCATCCACTGCCCAGATGGACTCAGTGGGGCTTTTGGGCCTCTCGGTCTTCCTTCTCGGGACGTGGCTGAACGTGTATCCCGAGTGGCAGCGCCACATCTGGAAGCAGCAGGCCTGCAATCAAGGCCGGCTCTACGTGGAGGGGCTGTTTTCGGTAGCGCGCCACATCAACTACACTGGGGAGATCGTGTCTTTCGTTGGCTTCTCGCTGGTAACGGGAGCGCTTTGGACGATGTGGGTGCCGCTCGTGATGGCACTCGGCATGTGCACATTGAGCATCCGGGAGATTGAGTTTTATCTCTGCCAGAAGTACAAGGAGGATTGGTCCAAGTATGTCAAGAGCGTCCCATGGCTGATGATCCCTGGCATCTTCTAGGCCGCCACATGTTGGATCCTGGGAAAGCCAAGTCTCGGATTGAGGGTCCGAGGCCGCGGACCGTCATTCTTCGACATTGTGCACATCTCCGCACACCACAAGTGGCTTCTGGTTTCCTTCGCCAATCTTCGCCCCAGTCCAGTGAACTTCAAGCTTTCTCACGTTCCGGCCCTTGCTGGTCGTCGGAGCTGTGTTCTGCTGCCCGAAAATGCCCGGACAAGCTGGACGGGAAGGACGTGGAGGTCGTGCTTGCCCTCATCTGTAGAGCTCCCATACATCGGCTGTCGCAATTTGCGGAGGAAAGAGCGACAGTGCAGTTGATATTCATTGTTGTTTGTTGACGATTGCTATGAATGCTGCTGCTGAAGATGACGACGACTACAGAGTTGTTATTCATTATATTTCAGTTGTTGTTCTGGTGATTCTTGATTTGATGATGGCCATACTCTGCTGAGCTAGAGCACCTTTGCCGGAGGTTGTGGCGTGTGAGGAGGTGTCCGAGTACCGTGCGGCTGTTCTGTGGCTGCGGGCATTTTATGTTCAATGTTTCCGCATGTTCCCGCAGTCCTCTGGGAGATCCCATATGCCAGGTCGCTGGTGAGCTCAGATGATGTGGTCTTGGAGGCCTCACCTCGACGCGTTCCGCAAGAGGCACTCCGTTTTTGTTTTTGTTTTTGCCTTTTTGGCTCAGGTGGGTTCGCATGTGGGCGGCACAACCAAGGCCTTGCAGCCTCGGATGTTCTTATTGCCAGGGTTATCACAGGTTATCACCATCATTATTGTTATTGCTGTGAATATTTGTCAATGAGAATTGTTATTCTTGTTGTCGTTGCTGTTGCTGGACAGTGTTCAGCGCTGTGCCTCCATGCCTCCATGATCTTCAATGGTAGCAGACCATGCTGTGTCTTTTCCCATTATTACTGCTGGCACGCGCACGAACACCACACGTTCGACACACTTAGCAACACAGCACGACGTGCCTCAGGCAGACGCGCCCGATACCAATCTCTCAAGCGCAGAAGAGTGCAAGCAAATGATGTGAGAAAGCGATGAAGCTGCTTGAGCTGGAGCTGACTGATCATAGAAACTCACGAACAAGCCCAACAGGCAAACATTGGAGAGCCTAAGCTTCTTCCACGGCACTACACACAAGGTGATAACTGGTGAACTCAGTCCCGACAATATCTTCTCCAACATGAAGCCGAACACGTAGTGGGGACTCGCGGAGCTAGAACACAGGATAACTGTCTCAGTCACAACACTAGAGGCCTTCGCGATGCAGAAGGCAAGTACATTGGAACGTGCGTTCCAACTGTCATCTTCACTCCGAGCCAAATCACAGGCAGTCGAGCGAGCAACAATCAGATGGTGCACCGGTACAAGGGAAACCATCCACAGTCGAAGTCAGTGTTGGCAACCAATCACCGACCGGGAAGCACTCAAGAAACTCGCTCTTGTGTAGTGCATTTCCACGGCAGGGGACACTTGCGGGGCAGTAGCTGTAGTGTGGGGGTTGATGGTCACGACGAACTTCACTTTCGGCCATTGGCAATCTGAACCTAAAGCCAAAGCAACATGGAAACTCGATAATTCAGGGCCTAGGCAATTGAAACAATCATTGCAAGTGCTATTCCTTTCGTCAGGGTATTCTTTCTTTCCCTGATGTTCCGATTCGTGATTTGCATTCTTTGATGCAGGTGATCGCCTCTGTGGCTGGTCGGGTAGTTGGTGTGGACCAGCAGCCAGAACTCGTGGCGCAGGCACGAAGCCTCGTAAGGGCAGATGAAACATCTTTCGGACGTTGACGTAAGAACCCCTGTCCTTCAAATGTCTTCAACCGGCACAGTTCAGCCCAGCAATGTGCAGCCTATGACGATATGTCGGCTTTTGGGGCCAGAGAGACTGAGAACATCAGGCCCGCCAGAACTATCCGGACATCCGGTTCGAGGACCTTGCCATGCATTGGCACGCGGGCGGGTTGAGCTCCCAGTGCTAGGAATGTTGAGGATGACGATTTCGTTATTTTGTTGGTGCAGTGGCTGTGTCGGTAGTTTCATAGCACCGGGTGCTTCCCAAGCCTCGACTGGGCAAGTCCGTCTTTTTTCCCAACTTGCCAGAACTTCGATGCTTTCGACTCCACTAAACTGGTGGTGTGGAGCTTGGCACGTCACATCCTCCGGAAGCCCATTCTCTAGTGCAACAATTGTATAATGATATACCGAACAATATATAGCAAAATATGGCGCTGGTGTGACATGTGTGACTTCTTTTCGCTCTGCGGCTCTGCAGGCTTTGGCCAGGTCCCTTGATCCAGAACGCATCACCAAGGCCTTGTTTGGGAATTGGGCTTGGGTGGCTACACCACGCAAAAAGCACATGGTTGGCTCTGGTACCATTTTAAGGGGCAAAAAGCTTTGGCAGCAAACGCCCGCAGTTGCTTGGGTTTTGGATATTCAGGCCTCAGGCTTTGAAAATGCTTGCAGGCATGAGTAGTTGCAAAAGGAGCCAGAGGCAATCTATATCTTGGGAGCCACAGGTCTGCATCGACATCAGCGGAAGCCGCGATTTGGCTACTGTGCCATCCTGAGTGCTTTAAGAGCACGGGGACTTGGGGCAGAGGCCTTCTAGGATCAAAGCAAGAAAAGGCGATTCTGACCTGTGTCTGTCACACTGCACGGTCGCCCTGAACATGTTCGCTGCAGCAGTCTTGATTCTTGATAAGGGTGATGAGAAGGGCCATGGCGTTCGTGCATAGTGGCGTACATGATGTATTCGCGAAGTTGGCGGTCATATGATATGACGTGCGCATTTCAAGCCCACGAAGTGGCTGCCGTGTAGGGCTGGTCATGGTGGTGAGGGTAGCCGACGAGCGATCGCAGGGAACGGAATGCAAAGGGTTGACTTGCCAGTCTGAGAATTGGCGAGTAGAGCCTCAGAAGCAAAAAAGGGTGTGGCTTCAGTGCAGCTGAAACACAACAGAAAAACAGCCTTTATCCTGGTGCGCACAAAAGATCTGGTCACTTAGGAGGTGGAGCTTTCGGAGCCTGCGCCGAGGTATTCAGATTGATGGACTTGGTTGACAAGACCATCAGTCCGGACACGATGCTTGTGAAGTCACAGGTGCACCACTGCGGGTGCTGCAAGTTGGTATCAGTTATTTATTTGTATAAGGACAATGACGGCATAATGTGGAATAATGTGGTTGTACTTTGTAGTGATGCATCCTGCCGGAAGAGACTACAGAGACTACTGCAGTACTACTGCAGTACTACTGCAGGCGTTGAAGAAGATGCTGCTGCGAGCACGCCTATGGATTGAGCATCCTCTGAATGCCAAAGTGCTTTGATGATGGCTTGTCTATGTTTTTGCTGGGCTGTTCCGTAAGTTGCCGCTGGTCGTAAATCGTAAAGTCGTAGAATACAACCACCGTGCAGACTCAACTCGTGGCAGCAGCCATCCTGGACAGCTTGTATCACTGGCACTGTTAAGAGTATACTGGCTGTCCTCCACTCACCTTGGCCGGAACTGGCAGCTAAGCGCCGGGGAACAAAAGGGCCTTGCCGAAGACGCTGCTGTTTGCGTTTGTCCGAAGAGATGAGAGAGGTGAAAGGGGAAGGAGAGAAAGATTCGCACGCTCAATCGGAGGACGCATCGAAGAGCGCTGATCAAGCCCATGGGTTGCAATGGTTGACGTCCTGCACAGCATGCATTCAAGATACCTGGACTCCCTAGATGACATTCATGAGACCCGCCTTCTTGACGAACCTGCAAGCAGAAAGAGTAAGAACAGACCCTGCAAACATCATGGTCATGGAGATGTTCCGCCCGCCGTGATTCAGGAAGGCGCCCATGTGCGGGGACATGAGGATTAATGGCTGTTCTTTGTGCTTTCATATGACGGCCCTTTGCTGCCGAGTTTCGAGGCCGCATGGGTGGCAAGTGCTGCACTGACCGGAAGCCGCGGCCGGAGGGATGGAGCGAGAAGCCGCCACTGGCCCAGGGCTTGCCAACAAGTCTAAAAACACTCAAATCCCGAGGCTGGTAAACCCTACAGAATTCTAATGAAGCCCTAAACCCTAGGGACCCTAACATGCTCCTCATCCAAGGCTTCCAAACAAGATGGGAGCAAGCCGGGGGCCTACTGGGATACAAACCTTCGTCTTCCAAATGGGTGTTGCACAACATGGGGGCTACCCCCTATAACCCAAAATGCCAGAATCCTTACCTCATTCTCGGAAGCCCAAAAAGGGTACCCCCCCCATTTTCGAAAACCCCCTAAGAGGCAAAGTGTTGTTCTGGGCATTTGGGGCTCATCTATGCAAGGCCTCCGGCAAGCCTGGGCTGAAGGCAGTCTGAGCTTCTCTTGGCCAGTGGAAGATCTTGAGATGACACATGTGACTTTATTGGAGGCCTTAGAGTCTTTGGGCCACATGGCAAAGAAGGTTTCTTCAACCCCTGCGTCCAGGCATAAGTGGTCAGGCGCTCTTCGTCGTCTACCTCGACAACGAGGCAGGTTGAATCAGGGATTGCAGGTGGCCTTGTGCCTGTCACTTTTGGTAGGAGAAGTCAATTGGCCTCGAGTTTGAGACGGATTCGCTCGAGGTCAAGGCTGGCCGTGTGCAGGAGGATGCGAGATGGTTCGAGATGGTCTGAGAGCGTGTTCTTGATTTCTTGTTTATGGACTTGTGGAGGCTGTTACTCCAGGTGGGCTTCTTGACAGGCCGGGTGGAAGGCTACTGACATAGGTGCAATAATCTCTCCAAGCTTCTCCAGGTACTGCCAGCAGGAGAACGAATTCGTTTGCCCAGGCCGCAGTCAAATCATTTCGCGCTGTAGGAGTCCGTAGGAGCTGCGTACCCGAACCGAAAGGTGACAGGATTTACTCCGTGAACGATTTCACGGACGCCTGTCGGCCTTACGACAACACGCGCACCTGCAGTCATCCCGAGAGGGACAAATGGAGAACTTGAGTCCGAGGACAAAACCGACATCATTCGCCAGTTGAAAGAGCCTCTTGACAGCACACCTTGTCCTACTTCCTATGCTTCGAAGAGCTATCTTGCCAAGGCAGCCTCAGCTTGAGATTATGTTCTCAAAGCTGATCGTGGATACCTGGCAGCACACCTCCCTGCATGTGGGCGCTCACCATCATCCCAGCATGACGTGACCACAGCCATCTTGAAACAGCCGAGGACGTGAAGATCATCAAGAGACCCGGGAAGAAGCTGGGTGCAGCAACAGACCCAAAGACCTTCGAAGCTTGGCAACAAGATCTTTCTTCCTTGTCTGCGCAGAGACCTTCGTGCCTGGAAGAGTAAGCTTGTAGCCAGCCTGAAAGTTCTCAGACCATCCTCAAGATTGCCGATGAGAGTCTCATCGATGACTGGAACAAGCAAAATCCGAAGGATGGGGGAACAGTGCTGCGCAACGTATAGAAAAGGAGTGGCGGCTGAGGGAAGTGGCACGTGCAGGAGAGAATCTGCATTGGGGACACAGTGATTGCTGTCAACGGCGTTGTTGACAAAGACAAGGCAGGCCTCCACGATGTCAAAAAAGTCCCTCTACTAGCATTGTTGTTTAGGGTGCCAGCTTTACTTTGTAGCAAGATTTTTTGTGACGCCGTAGCTGTTCACAGCTTTTGCGATGCCTGAGTTGGTCACAGGCTGTTCAGGAGATCGGCTCCAAAGAGGAGCTCCTGCTGTCGGGCACTTGCATATGAGATCATGCTAGGGGGGGCACTTGGGGCTCCTTTGACATATCGTTCAGTTCTCTCAATCACCCTGGGCCCTTGGTCACCTTAGTACCCCCGCCAGCTTCCATACCAAGGCGCGTTATGCGAGGTCCACGACGGGATGGCCAGGACCGAAGTACAGAAAGAGCAGCGAGGGCCCAACACGGAGCAGAAACCATCTGGGTTCGACTAAAGGGCAATGAGACTTAATGAGATGGTTCGGCTCAGCCATGGCCTTCCCCATTGCAGGACCCGATGGGCAGCATGGGCAAGCTCCCGGCTCCGAAGGAACCCCCCCCCTCCATCTCTCCCCTGTAGGGTGGTGTTGCGCCTCCCTCCTAAGGATCCTGACGGCAAGAAAGGGAAGCCACCCCCTCCCGAGAAGTGGCGGCCCGAGCTTCGGAAGGCATTTCTCGTTGAGTTTGGAAAGCTTTGCCACTAAGGCCCACAATGAAGATGTAGAGTCCAAGGATGTCCAAGCCACAGGCACTGCCGCGCCCCAGAGCTTTGTTTCCTTCTGTTCATTTGGCCAGTCTTTAAAACCTTGCCGAGATCAGTGTTTCGCATCCATGTGCATCTACTGTTTAGTGGCGATTGATCGAGAGAGGCTGGCAGATCCTATGACCTATGACCTGTGCCTTGAAGTTTCACCCAGACAGCCAGAGCTTGTTGAGCTCTGCAAAAAGAAGATGCTGGAAGAGCGATGCGCCACCAGCAGCGCCAGCTTCAGCGTCAGTTAATGTACGCGAGGGTGAGGGTGACATGAGCCACCCTGCTCTCACCACCTCGATTCCCGAAGAACCGCAGCTGGTAAACCATGCCTTGCCTTCCGAGACTGCATCGATGGGCAGCGGCTCGGTGAAACTGAACGCTTGACCTCGAAGATCTTGCAGCCGCCCCTCGCAGACCACCTTGCGCGCGTAAACAGCCGCGGTGGAAGGAGCAACAGCCAACAATCAGCCTTATGAGGGCTAAGCCAAGGAGCTGTGCGATGCAGTCTACTTGGTTCTGGGTAACATCAATAGGTAGAGAATTACATCACGCAACCGAAGCAGCTTTCACAAGCCGGTCCTGGTGGCCATAATCCACAACAGTCGTGCTGCTCTGCCCCAATGCGCGAGTATGGCAGCCACATGTCGAAGCAGGAGCTTCCCCCAACAAGCCTCCAGTGCAGCTCCCCAATGCTGCACCTCCTAGAGAATGTGACAGGACTGTCGAGTCACCTTCGACTACTTGCCTGGGCAGATTGACAGAAACAAGACAGGCCTCTCGACCTCCGTGTTGCTGCAGAGGGTCGAGCGGAGAAGCCGCATCCAGCCAGGCCTGCCGAGAACGCCGGGGGGCCGCACCACGAGCTTTAAATCGGACCGTGGCTGCCACAACGCTCCTCTCTCAACTACCTGTCAGCTACCTGTCAACTACCTGTCAACTACCTGTCAACTACTTGTCAACTACCTGTCAACTACCTGCACTCCTGGGTGAGAAGGACCGACGAAACCTGTCCTCCAGACCTTCCCCGAGTAAAAAGTCAGGTCCCTAGTCACTTAGTCGTGGCAGGAAGCAGGCGATGTAGCCACCATGTTGATGACAACCGATGACAACCAGCGTGAGGGTGTTGTGCTTTGATGCGAGTGTGCGAGGCTCACTGGTTCCACAAACGCGGGCGACATGGGTCTCCTGCCTGTGTTCAAGAAAGCTTTGCTTGATCTTGCGCTTGATCTTTGCTTTTACGCAGAGACAAGTTGAGGCACTGACAGCTGGGGCACACGAATGTCGCGACTTTCAAACTCTGCCGATGAGGCTCAATGTATGCAAAAGTTGCATCAGCTGAAGAGAAATCACCAAGCTCCCACATTCAGGAGGAGGAGGAGGAGGAGCTCGAGTTACGCAAGGAGGAGGTGAAGCCACTGAATGCGCACGAGGAGGAGCGCCACGTGCCAATCTGATGGTGAGATTCACAGCGGCACGTTCTCCAGGACTTGCTAAACCAGCAATTCCACAAGGCTCAGGAGGACCGCCCTGGTCAAAGACGTGCCAACATGAAGAGCATGTATATGAATGCTGTGACTAGAAACAGGATGTACCATACTGCTGTTGAACGGTTGCGTCGAGTCGCAGGAAGATGCCGAGAATCTCTTGGTGCACAGCCTCAGATCATCTCATGGTCTAGGCGTTTCCAGTGGTGGAGTTGTTCGATGCTAGGGCCCGTAAGACAGGCGCAATAGAACGTTTGTTTTGGCCCTTAGAACTTTCACGATGTCTTTGACCTTGAGTAAAGTCTGTTACGGAAACTGGCGGGCTGTAACGGAAACTATCTCCCCAAAACCGAAACAGAAACAACAGGAGGGTGTAACCGAAACCAACCTGGGACCGTTAAAAAACACTTGCGGGACGTAACAGAAAGCAACTGCCCCAACAGAGAGATGAAAGGCGGAGAAAGGATTGGGGCAGAAACCAGACAGACCTGTGACGGAAACCAAAAAGAAATGTAACAGAAACCACGGAAACTAAACCCGAAACCCTAGACCCTAAACCCCGCAACCCTCAACACGGAAAACTAAACTCGAAACCCTAGACGCTGAACCCCTCAAACCTCAACCCCAATGAGGGCTGGGTGCTACACCTGCGCATGGTTTCCAGGTTTTGGGGCGTAGTTTCCGTTGCATTTTTGCTTGGTTTCTGTTATATTTTCGGGGTGTTTTCGGGATGTTTTCGGGTTGGTTTCCGTTACACCCGCTTTTGGTTTCTGTTACACCCTTACCCCTTTAACCTTATGCTTTCTGTGACTCAAATCTCGTGTATCATGTCTATCCTTTGCCACCTTTGCAACTTTAACACCCCTTGTCACCGTTATAGCCCCCATCCTTCCCCCCTCCCCACCATTTGGGGGCCTTTGGAGCCCAGGCCTGGATTCCTGTCTCGCTGATCCTCGCACCCAGGAAGGAGCTCGGCCCGGGCCCGACGATGCCTTGTGTATTTTTTCCTCCCACTCTTTGCAGTTCGTAGCAAGGCAACTCTGCTGCTCAGGAATCCACTTGGGGGGCGTCCCTGACGATGCCTCAGTAATCCATCATCTGCCATGTGCAGGGACAAGAACTCTTCTTGATGCATCTTGATGCCAGGTGACGCCGAGCATGGCAAGCAGCATCCCAGATCGTGCCGAGGCCCTTCTTTACCTACTCTGACCCGTGAAAAGCGACGCGTTTTCTTTTTGCACCGCTGTCCTCGACTTCGGCACATGTCCCGAAACTTAAGCGGCCATCTGCTCGGCGTGGGCCTAGGCGTAGGCTTAGGCGTAGGCTTTTACGAAGCGAGCACAATGCATCGCTTTCACGTTGGACAGCAGTGTCTAAGTTTCGAGTGTGTGCGGGTTCAGCTGAGGTTTCAGTGGACAGAATTGCACTACAGTGGCTAGCATGCACATCGAAACATGCTAAACCCCAACCTAGACGCTGCACATCGTTGTCAGCGTGTTAGAGAGCTCGAAACTCCCGATGCCTGGCAGACACTGATGCTTTTAAGCACATGTTTTCAACGACTCGTTCCGAAAAAAGGTAGCTGCACATAGCTTGCATTCCGAATGTGAACCCTCCTCGATTCGCATTTCTACCCCCCGGCGCTCTCTAGCTACTCTATTTATTACCTATCATCAACGAAACGCACGATCTTGGCCTGAATGTTGTAAAGACAAACACGAATCCCCAAGTAGACGCCGAGCGCACAGCCTATGCAAAAAAAAGAGTTTCCCACAATGGCCGGGGGTGGCTGCACGACTCCCCGGATCGCATTGAGATCGCATTGGCAGGATGTGCGTTGGGGTTTTTGATGTGTAGTCTTCAGCCGCGGATGCTGTGTAATTCTCTGAAATGTGAATTTGAGCTGACTGATGGGAGTCAAATCCACCCTTCGCAGCATGAAAACATGGATGTTGCAACCTCTGTGTGCTACAGGTTTCACATTTCCGGCACTGACTTGGAGCAAATTCATTTGTTAAAAGGTCCCAGCACTGCGACACACGGAGATTACAACATCCCCTGGGACAAGCACGGCGTCCAGCTTACATGGGGTTTTAACATTCGGAAACATTCTCAGACCATGCCTTGGAAACCTTTAGGAACCATGTGTATGCACGGTTTTGGTTTGTAGCATCCGATCTTGAAACCGCGCTCGGAAACATGATGTCTGACCATGCGTCTACTTATTTCCATCACTTGTGCTGCCTTACTCTACCTTCCTGAATACGCCGCGTCCATTGGTACAAGTACCATATCAACTCACTCATGGTTGTTGTTTTGCAGCACGGTGTCATCACCAAAAGACTCAGACAAGACCTGAGGCTGTTAAGGTGTGCCATTCTAGCTCAACTCCATCCCCGCCTCGGCCGAAGTCCCACCATGCGCCTCGTGCAAATGAAGAGAAGCACGCGCGCACATGCACACACAAGGTCATGAGGATCCACAAGTTTGTTTGCCACTTGTCGCTAGACCCGCTTTTTTTCGGAGGCAAGGACACCTCAAAATGCTTGGAAGCCTTTTGGGGCACTCCAGTCGGCACAGAAGAGCAAAGCAGCCTTCGAGGCTATTCTGAGCGTTCCTCTACATTCATACAGGATACCGTACGAGACCGGAGGGATTTGGATGTTAGAGCTCAGCCGTGATGCCCCTCGTATGGGCCATGCTCGAGGATGCTTGAGGAATCATTAGCAAATAGCCTGCTGGCTGTTTCTGCGTCCAAAACAAGGGAACTTTCAGAAGCCCTTCTGTAAGACTAGTGAGCGAATGCTTTTTGCCCTCCTTGGAGGTGACCAAAGTGGAGCCTCTCGGGATACTTGAGACCTACTTGAGCCCCACGGACAAAGGAGTCATCCGTCTCAGGTCGGCTTAGGGCTCAGGGACCTCATGGAAACCCAAAACTCAATGTCTCGAAGCCCCCCATGGGTTCCAGAGACGAGTTTTCCTTCCCATGAGGTTGATGGCCACTGGGGCCGCCACGGTCTGGACACGCTGCGGAGGACGATGCGGCAGCTAGGCCGGACGTGGCCTTTTATATCCTTTTACGGTCTCTTCCCTCATCCACAGCTTTACGGAGATGGACCCGTAAACCGGTCTTGGACGGCTGAAGGGCTGTTCAAGATGGCCAGGAACTGCAACAGACGCTTGCAAGATCGAGCTGCTCTTCTCACGAGAGGCTGTACTTTTGCAGATGTGGCCTTTTGGATCCCAAAGCCTTGCCATCCAGGCGAGATTCAAGTTTGGCTACAAGATTCGCGAGTGTGCACGGAACCGAGTCTCTGCCCTTTTTCTGGCGTGTGTGTGTGTGTGTGTGTGTGTGTGTGTGTGTGTGTGTGTGTGTGTGTGTGTGTGTGTGTGTGTGTGTGTGTGTGTGTGTGGCCAGGCCGGTGTTACGCTGCTACGGAGTCCCTTCGAAGTCCACAGCGACCTCAGGATGGCACTGCGCTGCATGTGGCCGCGCTTCATCAGCTCGGAAGCCTGGGAATGTGAATATGTGATTCGCCGTGTTTACTTTGGAATGTGTGCCTTGTTGGGAAGTGCCAGAAAGGCTCAGGTTACATTTTGCAGTTCTATGAATCCTCTTGATGCCGTTGTGACTAGTCAGTCTTGTCCAACGCTGAGGCGTGGTGAGGCTCTTCTCCATCAGCTCCTACATAGAAGAGCTGACCCATCTCAGGAAGGGATGGATCGCTCCAAGAGTTGTGCGATGCGGTTTAGGCCATCAGCAATGCGAATCTTCAGGAGTGCCACTTCCGATCCCGTGGTGATCCTGGTTCTGCTCAGGCATTCCGCAGTTGCAAGCCGGATTGCGTGGTGTGGTACCACACCCAGAGCTGCGACAGCGCGCAGGCCTTGCACCTTTCTGCTGCCAGAGGCTTTGTGGGCCAGGTACCCAGGAACTGATGCGTCAGAGTCGGGAAGCCTCATGCCATGAAAAGATGTGCGGATGCGCTGAAGTTCGACCATGTTCAGTCACCAGGCCACATGGACTTGCTCTTGAGATATCGGGCAGATGTGCACGTCCACCGCCATGTTTGTCGAAGAGGAAGATGCTTGCTTACCTGTACAATACCCTGCAAGTGTCGCGACAGGCCTACAGCAGGGTGAAGCAAGAAAACAACTACTGCGCTCTGCACGAGGCCCTTCGATTCTCTTGATCACTTTGGGCAAGCATCCAAGCCCAAGGCAGTGCTGTACAGCCAGAAGAATGCAGCCCGTTTGTTGCTGATGAAGAAAGCGGATGTCAACGCCACGAACTTGAAGGCGACTTCGTGGAGGTTTAGTGGCCAATGCCTTGTCTTGGCATACTGCGTCTTGCCCAGAAGAAGACCCCGCTCCACTACGCAGCCCGCTCTGGCCATATTAGGCGCGTGGACAGAAGGGAGGAGCAATGAAGGGCATCTCTGGTCCATCGACGTGCCGAGTGCGCAGGCTGTCGCAGTTCCTGAAAAACCACGGCGCCAATCTGAAGGCGGGTTGCCAGGGCGGTTGCCGGGATGTGCCGTGACATGCCGTGACCTTGGTTGGATTGGCTTGACCATGAAACGTGAAGACATGCCTTACGAAAATGCCCTCCTCATTGACTCCTCAATGCCCAGAAAAGAGAAGACACCCCAACAAACAGAAGACTCATCTGCTGGACCGCGTTCATCACAGTGGCAGGTCTTAGGTTAATCCTGTGAGCTACTGAGAGGGAGATTGTAAGATATTGTAAGATTGAATCTCAACCTTGCCCGAGATCCCAGATCCCACATGGGAATCTCGGGGAGCAATGAGGGACATGGCCTCTTGGTCTTTCTCAGATTTCTCCAAACTCAACATCAAAAAAAGGCATACACGCCACAACACAACCAAGCGAGATATGACTTCGCTTCACCCCAACACTTGTGCAGGAATCTTGGCTCTTGGTTCTCCAGGCCCGTTAATGCACATGCCTAAGTCAATGGGGCCAAAATCCGCCCAAAGCTTTTAGGGTTTGAGGATGAGGGTTCTACCGCTCTCTGCCAAACTACAACACTCGCAAGAACCTAACCAAAACCTAACACTCAGCAACATGCAGCTAGTTCTAGTTATGTGCTTGATTTTCCTGACCCGGCCTCACCCTGTGAATTCAATGTAACTGCTAATCATGTATGAAGGTCTCAGTTTGTGCGAAGCCACGCACTTGAACTAAGAAAACAGTGTTTCATCCTTTCGGCATGCAAGGTGGCTATTCAAGTTTTCGCTTCAACTGGCTAATATCTCCGCACTCCATACATTCAGCGTGAGATCCATTGCTCTCTTCTTCCAAAAGCTCAAAAAGCAAAAGGAAGCTTGCTGAGTAGATATTTCCTCGATATGTGCGACATGCTTCATGAAAGCAGACAAAGTGCGAGGCGATGCTGAATGCTCCAAATAACCTGACACTCGCTCTGTCCTCCGATTGCTATGTTTTGACGTTCGCGTCCCAATTTGATCCGAAGATAGTATCAGCACTTCGGCCACTTCAGCACCGGTCAGTAGGCACTTGACGACAAGGGCGCCACTCCGGTGATCACTGCCGCCAGCTCCTGAAGAACGAATAGCGATGCCAACCGCCCCAGACGCCACTAACGTGCTTGGTGAGGTTGAGGCTGGCCGATACAGGCGCGGGCCATGACTTTCCGTTTTGTCCACTGCATGTTGACAGGGGCTCAGCCCAGGTTTGACAAGCTGTTCATCCTCATGGAGAGATCTTTCGAGGATCTGCTTGTGGCCAGCCTGGCCTGCTGCTATACGCTGCAGTCGCTGCAGGCACTCTAGTGCATTTTCCTTCTGGCCTCATTGCCAGGTGAGCAAGCTCTGTGCCTCCGTGGCGCTTGGCTCCTCAGTCAATCGCCATTGTCACCCGGAACTTCAAGGGTCGAGAGAGAGAAACTAAGTCAGTTCGAGGCCCGAAATCATGCACGACAAGGGCAAGAACAGGGTGCACCCTGAGTGGACGGAGGCCGGCCCCAAGAAGAGCTGGTATAGACATGCATGGACATGGACGACTTTTTTGTCACTAAACCAGGCAAAGTGTGGGCTGTTTGCAAGGCCTTGGTGAAGCAGGCGGAGACGGACCTCGCGAATGCCTCAGAGATCTCCGAAAAGAGGGGATCTTTGAGACAGTTGCTGTGGTACCCTGGCGTGGCTGCTCAGGTCTCTTCAACCCGCCACTGGATGGAGATCATGCATTGGTCCGATGGAGCTGGGGAGGTCACAGCTGAGCTATGGTGAAGAAGCAGAGCGTTCCGTGAGACTCTGTGATGCAGGTAATTCTCGATGTGCTCACCGTGCGACCAGAGGCTCAGAACAGCAACTACAATCCAATTCCCAGGCACGCATTCAAAGGCATTCTCTGGGCGCCCAAGTGAGCAGATGATTTCGCGGATGACGTGCTGCAGGCGAGCGAGGTTGCCCTCGGGCGTGCAGATGGTGTGACGTCCTGAAGATTCCTTAAGTCCTGTGTTGCATCGGTATTCCCAAGGAGTTGATGCTCCTGTCACCCGTCCATCAGGTGCCGGTACGAGTCTGCAAGGACTTGGGAGTGGGACCAGATGCTAGGCTGAATTAAGAAAAAGTGTTGCATGTCAGACAATCCCAGTCCTGCTTACAGCATGGCTCAAAAAGAAGAATGTGTGCGACAGACCTAAGGGAGACTGGGGACCCGACCTTGGTGATCAACTCCGGAGTGCCTGAAAAGCGGGACGATGCGCGAGCTTAGGCAGCGCCTTGGCACTCGCTGCTTTGTCCGGGTGGGCTCAGCATCTACGCGCACGAACCTGAGACCAAGCTCCGTGTATTGATGATTTGGCAATGCTCTCTCTAGATCATCCACGAACACGGCACAGGAAGCGCGGCACCTTCAGCAAGCGCGCCAGGATGCTGGAGGCACGAGTAGCTGGGAGGTTGCAGCAGTGAAGGGCGCAGCTCCCCAACTGTCTCTACTATCTCTGCTATCTCTGGCGTTTCTCTGCCGTCTCAGCTGTTGCAGTCCTTGCTGTGGTGGCGCCAAAGACGAGGCAACTACAATGCCAGCTGCAAGCTTGCAAAGACGGTAAGGCTTCGGATGGGGCCGCTGAGGCAATCAGCTGTTTGGCTCGCAGAACGTGTCGAACATGCTGAATGCCCCCGCGTAGTGCCGGCACAGTTGATCGGGGAAGAAGATGCGAGACAAGGGCAGAAGGGTGGATGAGACTGTTCCGACAAGTGCCCGATGCGATGGGCTGCCAGGTTCTAGTAATTGTACAATTCTACCTTGATGTGTCCCATGTTTCCTCTGTCCGTGTGTAGATTAGAAAGTGTCAGCTATGTGATGACGTAGCAGCGCATGCCTACTCATTTCATCACGCTGGTGTACACATGTATAGCCTCAAGAAAGTTCAATAGTGTGGGAAGTGGATGCTTGGCTAAATGGTGAGTTCTCAAAAAGCATGTGTTGATGTTTAATAGAAAGGCACACGAACCATGATCTATGTCAACTTTATGTCTTCGTTTTGAGGCGCCCCCCCAAGTACACCTCCCTTTAACCCATTGTGGCGCTAGCGTAGCCCTGGCTGTGTGCTAGCATGAATCTTAGAAGTGTTGGTATGCCTGGGCCGAGACAAAGGTATGCATGCAGGCATGTGGCCCCAAGATCTGCACGCTAGCATTGTGCCATGGACGGCCACGTACGGGAAGAATCGCGGCACCAGAACCATGGCGTCCAGGCTCTGCTCAAGCAAAAACCGCAGCGTAGCGTCAGCCATGCTGAGAATGATCTGCGAAGCGCGGTGCTGGCGCGTGCCAACCAGCATGGTTTTGGTGCGTGTTCGGGCTGGAAAACAGGGGTTTGCTGGCGCTAGCGTCACCAGACGCAGGCCCGAAGGATCCCAAGCTTTCAACCCCAACCCTCAACCCTTCAACTTCAACCAAAATCTCTTCCTTACATTGAAACATGTTGGGGTTGGATGGGATTTAATACCAACTTTGGCTGGTTGACTGTTAAAATTCAACGTCAACCTCATACGCCTTATAGAAGACCTTCACGTTATCTTGTCGTGAAGAGGCGCGCTAACGCGTTTCACAGGTAAATTGTGGGTTTTTAGCTGCGAATTTTATTTTCTCCTCTCCTACACGGCAGGTATGTTTTGTCTTGGACATGAAGCAGCCCCCAAGTACACGCATTCCGCGACACACTATGGATGAGCAGCATCTTGAGAAACGACCAAATTGCCAGGAGAGCTTTCGACTTCCAGCCTGAGGCATGAGTCCAGCGTGATTGTTTGCGACTGGTGCTCCCAAATCTCTCTCAATTCAATTTGGTTTTCTGCGGCTTGGTGTCTTGGGGTTCATTGGAGGCTAGCATCGTCCGAGACAAGGAGAGTGTCCCGGTGAAGGTGCGGCAGGCCAGAGATCGTGTGACAAGTAAGCCATGTCAGCTGTCGAGACAATGCATAGACTCGTGTATGCCAAGAAGCCACCGCTTGAGTTGAAGCTTCCTGGCATCGTGAATCCGGATGTGATGCACATTCTCGCGCACCAGCCTTAGTGCCGGGGCCGTTCTCTTGTCCTTGATTTTATTCCATTCGTCAACTGTTGCATTACTTCATCTACTTGCAAGACAACTCATGACACTCGCAACGGCCTCCGATGCTGAGGATGCACAAGATTGCATACTATGTAAAGTGTCCTTCCACATGAGAGCATAAGAGGTCGGGTTTTGTTATGGTTGTCGGCTGTATGTATGGCTCCTGAAACATCTTAGTGCGTGTATATCTCGTATGGCATGTCCTTCTGGGATACTGGTCATAAGAAGGCCTACAACGCTGATCAGCCCTTGTTGCCTGCGCTTGCCGCTTGGAAGTTCGCACGTGACAGAATGTCACAGAACGAGCTTCCAATGCGTCCGCATGCTTAGAACTCTCAGCATCTTGGGCCTCCTTGGGCCAGCATCTTGAGATCATTGGAGATACGTTCGGTCCCATTAAGGGCGCCGTGCTTGGGCGGAATGCTTTTGGTTCTCCGAGGTATACCCAGAACCACAACATTCTTTTGAAGCCTACGGGGCAGGTGGGTGAAGTGACTTTGCACTTGCACTTCCGAGCTCTGTGCTGAAACAGGCGATTATCCAGTATGCCTGGGATCATGTCGCCAGGCCCATATGTGGCCCATGCTTTTTTTTGGGTTGTCCAAGGGGACGTTGGTTTTTTCCAGGTACTACTACTGGACATACGTCTTCTACCAGGTCATCACCCTCGGCAATCTTGTAGTGGAGGCCAGATCCATTTTTCCCCCTCTTGGGAAATTCTTGTGAAGTTTTGGACCCGTAGGTGGTGTCTCCGGCGGACACCTTCTGGCCTGACCTGCTCCTTTGAAGCGCTGCTTTCTGCGGAATGTTTCCTGAGTGTTTTCCGTTCAATGGTTGCTTCTGCGCTGCATCGCGGTGTAACTTTTTTGAAGTTGAACCACACTTGCATCTGCGAACTACACAATCCCACGCCTTCTTCCGAATAAAGCCTAGCGGCAGAGATCTTCATGGCAGGGGCCGGCGTCTTCGCTGGAGTCTCCTTGCCGTGCTCGCGCACCTGGACCCGAAGCGGCGTTGGGGTGTTTAGCGGTGAGACGTGGAATATCGTGAGTCTGAGTTCTGCACGGGCTGCAAGGGTGGTTGGTTTTGGGAACTGGAATTCGCGCACATGAACTCCTTGCGAAGTTGCGCAAATGACAGAACTGAGACAGAACCGTAGAGAGGAGCTTTTCTACGAGTTCTGGGAAATGGCCGGGTACCTTTGCTACCTCCAGCATGCGTGCCGAACTCAGCTCTTCGAAGGTTGAACACGATTGCAACATATGGCAGAGTGCAGAAACACGTAGAGCCCCTCAGCCGGAGACATCTCTGAGGGGCCCACGCTACCTCACAAAGTTGGAGACCCTCGGATCAGATACCTCTGACACCTCTGAGTCAGACGTGAGTGTGCATCGAGGTCTTACGGGGTCGCGGCAGAGCGTAGTGCATGAGAGGGCTGCGAAGAAACGGCAAGTGCTCACAAGTCGCCACGAGCGTGGGCGTCGAGCATCTCCAGCTGCGTTGCGCCGAGCCGAGGAACCTTTACAACTGGGTGTCTATCATTCTGCTGATGGTGTCTTGGCTTTGTTCATCGTATTCCTCATTCACTCACGCACTCACTCATTCACTCAGCTCAATAGCCATATACGTGTTTCATGCTGTATGACTTTGTGTTCCGAGGTGCTGGTCTGGTGGACATCCAGCGATGTAACTCTTCAGGACCCAGCTCAGCATGCTGGAAGCTTGTCAAAACCTTTTTGGCCCTCTCAGCTCTTATTTCGGAGCAGCTCCACCGCAAGCCCCTATCAGCTGTGTCACGTAGGAGATACCGATCATGCTCTCCGTGCTGGTTCTTTTCCGTTGGATCCAGCTGACGTGGAGCTGCTTGACTAACAGCGGTGGAGTCCACACAGACTTGCTGAGGACAAGTTGTTGAGGTGCTGCGCCACGGGCTTCATTTCATGATTCTTTGCCACGCTGTGACGTTGAGGTTGCAGGGCCTTCGAATATGTGCCGCCCTCAACGACACGGAGCCTGGATCCTTAGCCTTACAATGGAATGCTTGATATGTCTGATCTCCTGAGGTTGGGGAGAAGATCCTGCCAATCTTGCAGGCCTCTTTCTCCACCTCCATTGGCGGGTGGACCTGGCCAACTTGGTGAGAAGAGAGCATCATAGCTGTCCAGAGGCAGCTGGGGTGATCTTGGGTGTTCCGTTTTCCCGCCAGGATCCTGGTGGTGACCTTTTGTGTGCTCGTGGGCTTTGTGCATGGAGCTCTGGCACTGGAGCTTGGGAGCATGCCTCAGCATTCTGCCTTCGCACCGTGCACTGGAAGCGGATCCAAATGAGACGAAGCTGAGGCATGAACTTCCGCAGCACTACAAAGTGGTTGCTCGACGTGTGTATGACCACACCTTCACGACATGCCTGCACTGGCCACGGACGTCTCTGTACACGTGCGCTCCAATTTCGAGGTATTGGGAGCACTGAAGCTGCTGCTTCTGGGTTTCGAGCTCAGAGTTGGGCTGCGAGTGCAGTCCACCCTTGGTGCGCTTGGTACCAGTTTGGTACTAGTTTGGGTACAAGGTGACGGAGATGGTATTGATGTTGCCCTCACCGTCGGCGGTGCACCGGAGGAGCTTGCGGCAACATGACCATGGCATCATGGGTCGCTTAGACAAGGGACTCAAACAACATCTGTGACCTTCCTAGACTCCCTAGCTGTTGTTGTTTCTGGCTGCCCGGCTAAAATCGTTTGAGGAGTTTCGGGGTTTGGGCCCCCTGGGCTTCTGCTTCCATGTCCCTGTGCCTGGCAAGGAAGGAACGCCACTGACCTTTGTGTTCCTCCTTACTGCCATGGTCGTCTTCTGTGCCGGAGACATGGTTTGTAGCTTGAGGACTTTTAGATGGAGAGCTGCCTGGCGAAGATGTTCAGGTTTGTGTCCTGAACCTCTTCATTGCGGTCCATGGAGAGGCCATGAATATGTGCATATGGCGTACGCAATCCGATTCGAAGCTAGATACGGGACGAAACGCCAAGGAAGCTTGAAGGTAGTTTTGCTTTGCCCTGCTTCAAGGCTTACAGTCGGGCGCAAGACAAGGCTCGTCCTGACAGCGACGGAAACGAGTTGTCGCTTTGCCAGTGACGGCCATGAGTCTGCAAAGCTACGCTGGTCCCGCAAATCGACCCTGCAGTCAGTCGGGGAGACATGGCGGGGCTGTTGAAGCTGAGCCCTGTTCAGGCGTACACCAGCTTCCTGCAGGCCGTCTTTGTGTCTCTGTCCTCTAGCTTGTTTTTGGGGATCACGTGTCGGAGCTCTGATTATATGTAGGAGCGAGCTGGGATATGTCTTCATTGCCTGCTGAGGCCGGAGATTCGGGAAATCAGACCCGATGTATTCACCAGACTGTTATGACGTCATGAGATCTCGTTCTCGCGGCTCTCGCGTGTCAGACCATCTTGGCCACCCCATTGCATACCAATTCGCGTGCCGACACCCCAGGAAGCTAAGGTTGGGGCATGTTGGGGGCTCAGAGAATCTCAAAGATCCCCCGAGGCCACATCGGATTCTTTCCTACCTGAGCTTAGAGCTGGTCGCCATCGCCGCCTGGGCGCTGATGCTGCAAGCTCTGCGCTCAGCCTTTGGTCTTCTCAGAGTCTTCTCTTTCGTCATGTGATGGTTCTTTAGTCAGACAGGAGCCATCCATCCACTACCTCATCCCGACGGGACTTCTCTGTGGCAGTGCGATGTTGGGCGATTCCATCCTCGCCGTTGCCTTGTGCAAGACTATCCTTCTGCTCTGCAAGAGCAAGCAGATCTTCAGACTGAGGTGCAGCGCCCATGGAACAAGACCAAGGGGGACCGCGCCGGAAAGCAAGCTCTGTCCCTTCGCAACTCTTGTCTGCCGGCCTTGCAGGAGCAGTACTACCTCTGGATGTGCTACAAGGAGAAACAGTGCAAAGCGTGTAAAGCCATTCCCCATTGCTTTTCCCTTGCAAAAATTGACGCCTGCCGCTGAAGAGCGCCATAGAGCATCAGGAAAGCTTGGACAAGTCGACGAACGTGCCGGTCCAGGTCCTAGGTTGGCCTGCCAGGGTGTGAGAGGCATTCGGCATCAGTCTGTTTCCACAGTCTCAGTGTCCATCACCTGAGGATAGCGCCGACATGTACAATGCGCTTGAGAAGGCCGCTGCAACGTCCAAGATGCTTCTGTTCCGAATACTCCTGCATGGAAATCCCAGGAAGTACGGCTGCAGAGCCCTCAGATCTAGCAGTGCATGGACTTTCGTGCTGGCATATGCTGCTTTATGCCGGTTATCGGCACTTGTGGACATTGAACCTCCGAGTTTCTACTCATCGCCCAGGGTCTCAAAGCAGTTCGAGCGGCAAACGCGTAGCTTTGCCGATCAGGTCCAGGCTGGTTTGTGCATGTCTTGCTTCAGGCACACCCCCTGCCACACCGCCGCCACTCCCCTGCCACACCCCCGCCACACCCCTGCCACCCCCGCCAGCCCCACCAACCCCACCAACCCCACCAGCCCCGCCAGCCCCGCCAACCCCACCAACCCCACCCCACCCGCCCTCGACCCCCCTCTGCCGCATGGTTGTGAGCGGGGGCCGGAATAAACTTGAGAATCTCACCAACAAGAATTGGAACCCGATTCTGAACACTGCAGCTAGAAGGCTGCCGGTATCTTACTCTTCTTTGGGTTTAGCGAAGCGCTTGTTTAGGTCTGGGGAGGTTCCGTTGATCACGGGGGCTATGAGCCTTATATAGGTCTCCAGCAGATCTTGCGGGACTGTCTGAGCTGTTTCTTGACGGATCCGAGACATGTCGGCATGTGCAAAGTCTACTGTCCTGACTGGCCTTTGGTGCATCTTGGTCTTTGTTGCTTCCCAGGGTTTGAAGGAGCGACTGCAAGGCAGGGGAGTTGCGTGTGGGGACCGTGCTCCATGCTTGTGTTCTAGGCCAGTTGTGGACTAGGCCTGGAGTCCTCAGTGGAGAAGCTCGCGGACACGGCAGAGTACGCGCTGCGCTTAAAGATCGCAGAAAGCCATGGCTCTCTCACAGCGTCTGCCAAGAGTCTGCCCGCATGCCCGGCACAAAAGCTCTGCAGGTGTCTGGGAGACGGGGATGGCCGACCATCATGGAGTGAGAATGAGTGAGGCTACTGGCTAGTTCGACATGACATACCGTTGCAATCCGTTGCACATCATTGTGCATTCTTCAGGGCCGCCGCAACAGCAAGTGAACAACGCTTGCTTTGCAAAGTGCCTTGACGAGATAACGCACCAGCTCCGAGAGAGCTTTTCAAAATATGGGCACGGCTGGGCATGTCACCTGAGCCATGAAACCGTTGCTTGCGGTCATGCTGTTGTTGTAAGTGGCTGTCATTGCTGGGCAAGCACACCGGCACACCTTTTCTTGGTTGTGGCGACCCAGGCTGTTCTCTGCTCGTGCTGTTGAGGTTGTGGCTAGACTCGATTCAGCTGCGAGTCCAGATCTGGCATTCTTTGGTTCAAGCACAGGCTTTAACGTAACATGTCGCAAGTCGCAACTCGATTCCCAAAAGTAGACGCCAGCTTTCGTTGCGTGCGCAACTTTGCAAAGAGTCCGGCAAATTCGCACTTGAGGCGACGTGTTGATTCACGCCGACATACGACTCTAATCACAGGTTACCAACGACAGCATGAGACAAGTTCGACTTACATGCGGGTATTGTAGCTTCCAGTTGCCTAAAGTCTAAGTGGCGGCTTTCGACGCGGTCGTCCAGCCTTGCTGCACACTCAGCTCCCTCTACACTCTGTCCTGCATTGCCACGTGCGCAAACGCCGAGGTCATGGCGTGGGCTCCCGGAAGCAATGGCAGCCCGCAGGTGGGGAGCGTGGTGATGGTGTACAATGTGACTTGCCGAGCCGCGGCGTGCAACCACCAAACACTGAAACTCTGCAATTCTGTGCAGTTCCTTGAGGTGCGAGGGGAACTCGAAGGCCGGCCGAAGCGTAACAACCCGGTTGTGCCCTCAGTGGGACTTTCGCAGGGCTAAGCCTGTTTCGGCCTCACCACACATCGCCCAGTGCTGACGCCCGGCGTCAGAGGCCATGTCCTCCCGAACTTCTGCTTCCTCTCGTTCCGGAGGGGTGCGGGGCACTTCGCCACAGGCTGGTCAGGGGTCCGGCTATGCTGATGGTTAAGTTATGTATGTGCTTTTTGAGCTCATCGTTTGACCCTTGGTTCTTGCATTCTGCTTTTCCCTGCAGCGCCCTTCTTCCTCAAGCGCTGGCTTGGACCACAAGAGCATTATGGCCTTGAGCCAGAGCTGCACAGAGGACTGCCAACAATGCTGGCCGTATCTATTTCCGCATACTCGGGGCTGGGCATCTGTCGCTAATACTGAAGATTTTACCGGACTGGAAGGACCTTGACGCCAAGATGCGAGAGAAGACTGCGCTGACGAAGCAGGTGGCGGACCTGAAAAGGAGCAAGTTGCAGTGCCCTAGCCCAGCCCACACATTGTTGCCCACCTCGCCTCCCCTATGCCCTGATCCCTTGATCCTAAGGGCATCTTGTCACAAGTTGAGACACGGCGCCGTAAGAAGCATTGCAAACTTGTCTCACCCACAGGTACGAGACGAAGCTGCAGAAGAAAAAGAAGGACGATGACAGCGCCGTCGTGCAGACCATCGATCTGGACTGTGGGCACAGGGTCAATTAGTTCGCGACAGAGCCGTGGCGGGTCATACGCATGTCACTTCACAACTCTCGCACTTGGCAACATGGTTGCTCCCCCTTCCCGCCGCACCACCCGCTCGCTCGCACGCACCCATGCAATGCCAGTCTCGTTTTTTCGCGGGAATGCGGCAAACTTGCTCAGCGAAGCTCATGCCCTCACTCTGTGGCTGGAAAGTTGCCGCAGCCAAGACAACTTCACAGGGTTAAGCCTTGGTTGAACGACTTGCCGAAATGCATGTAGCATCATGTAGCACAGGTTAGAGTGGTTCGAATGTGCCGGTCGTCAGTGTGTGTGTGTGTGTGGATACCCTCAGGCTCTGTTGGAAGCCGCACACGCCTTCCCCATCCTTCTGCATTTGCAAAAGCATGCGCACGTCAGAGCAAGAAATGGATGACCAAGATTGATCAATCATACCAGCAGTCACCAGCAAATTGGCCCGAGCCGAGCTGGCAAGGAGAAAAAGCTGCAAACCATCAACAACAGCCTGGTGCTTAGCCTGAGAGAGAAGTGGGATGCACTTGGACACCTCGGAGCCTTAACCCCTTAGCCCCAACCCTTGAGACGGCCCTCGCAAGGCAACAGGGTGGCCACGGCCGAGTTGTCAGGCGCAGGGGGTTGTGAGTTTCATCGGATGCGATGCTTTACGTGTAAGGGGCGCTTAAAGCGCAAAGCGCGCCAGGCCTGGGCTCGGAGAACGAGCGGTTGCGCCAAGACATCGATGCCTTGAGATCGCATCTGCAAGAGGCCCTGGCCTGCCTGGGAAACGCAGTGGATACTGATGATACTGGCATTCGGAGCATTTGTTGAACATTCGCGTCATGTAGCGACCATTGCAGAGATTAGTATGATAGTAGAATATGCGGTATCGCTTCTAGACTCGGCTCTAGACCGGCAGTGCTTTCCGGACGCGAGTCTTCTGAACTTTGCAGTATTGTCCACGCAGCTCAAGTGCAGGCCACTACAGCCTACGAGCGAGAATGCGAAGCCTTGGAGGGCCTGAAACAGGCTCTCCAGGCCACCCGCAAGGCTGCTTGCCTTGCAAGAAGAGCGGAGAACCCAAGAGTGTTTTGGGACCTACTTCTCCATATTCTTCTTCTGTGGTCGAGACGCTTAAACTGCTTAGGAGCTTGCAGCTGAAACGAAGCAGCGGGACATCGTCCAGCAGGCTGCCCGGCAGCCCCCCTTTACTGCAGACCTTGGGAGCTTGGCAGCTTGAGGGTTGGTTTGCTTTGCTGCGCAGGACTTGCGCGCCTCCAGAACAGCACAGAACTTGATGATCAACCGCCTTGACGACATCGAGAGGAGGCACACGTTGCCTTGCAGAGTACCACACACCCCGCAAGCAGCTGTGAAGTGTGGTAAACTGTAAACAGAGTCCTTGCCCTTCTGTCAGTCTGAAAGACAGCCTGTCGAGCTGTCCTGCATTGTTCTGCACTCTCTTTGGCGCTGACAGGAACAAGGCCCTCAAGAACTGTGTTGCCAATGCCCTCCATCGATAATGCTGAGCTTTGCTGCCTCTGGCTAGAGTCACGGACAGCTTTGTTTGCAGATGATTAAGAAACTTATGGACTTACCCAGCTTCATCGCCACTGTCATGAAACTGAACTACGTATCGGATGCTGTAGCCAGGGGCTGACAGGCAAGATGCGAACAATGCAGTTTGCATCTCTTGATGCCCGGCTATCCATGAGCTCAATGCGCGACGATGACATTTAGAGCCAGAAAAGCCGACTAAACGATCGGAATGTGTCAATGAATCTCACGAATGTTTCTGAACTGCGTGAAGAATTGCAAGGTGTCTCAGGGCGAGGGCGTTTGCGAATAGCTGAAGCGTATCCCGCTGTTGTTTGTCTGCGAATTCTGATCCGCGGTGTTTGTGTCCTACTGAAAATTGGGAAGCTGGCGGTGACATTGAACGTCATTCTGTCTCGGGTGGCTCAGCTGAACAAGTAGCGCTGCTGGATTTGTTCCTTTGCAGTCGACGTTCATGCCTCAGCAACATCCGCATGGCATGAATTTCCGAGATGCCTGCACACGTGTGGGCATCGCCTGCCAAAAGCTCGCTGCGCACACCCTGTACCAGAGAGGTCAAGAGGACACCATGAGCGGCTTAATGGAATACAATGGTACCAGTCTTAGGCATTTTCCAGCGGGGTGCATCGAGTTGTGCTGTCCCGCAATTGTTACACATGCTGTTCCAAGCACTCACTCTTGCGGAAGTGCAGCAGAGACATTTGAGGCTCGGCCATTGTCGCCATGGCAGGCGACAAGTGTGCCTGCGACTCTGGGCGGTGCAGGGTCATTGCGGGCGTGTCCTTTGGCTTGTGGCTGTCGGCTTCGCCCAGGTAGGTATCGCCTCAGACACGCGCTACGGAGTCTGCCTCCCAAACCTGTTGAAGTCAGTGCTTGTGTGGGGCGCATGTGGACGTTCATGGGCAGATAGATGCAGATAGCAAACCACATCTCGATCATCTCAACTGCTCAGATTCGGCAGCTGCAAACGGTGAGCTGCAACAGGCAGTCGTGCAGAAACGCGGAGAGTAGATGCTCTTTTTTTTTCTATGCAATCTTGTTCCTTTGTTGGGTTTTACTTTGGTTTCCCAATCGCTGACCGTGCCTTCCTGGACCCTGGCGAGGCAGAAGACTTTCCAGGTGCCCGAGGCTCAGGAGGGTGCGACTGGAGACAGGGTCAGATTTAAATATCCATAGTCTATAGATTTATAGAGGTGGTGCATGATGGGTTGAGTGGCTTCTCAGATGTTTTGGGATGGTTTCAGGCCCTTGCCCCGCCCAGCTCGAAGGGCATAGGATTGAAGGATGGCCTGTGGCTTTGGATTGTGGCTTTAGGGTTTGTTTGGGGGAAGCTACGCGCATACCCCGAGGACTGACCAATGCTACGTCGGACTTGCAGGACTAGCAACAGATGTGGCGGGCCGAGTTTCTGGCTTCTCCTATCTTCTCTCATTTCGGTGTTCGCCTACCCTAAACCCTAAAAACCCCATAAAAAGACCCTAAACCCCCCAAACTCCGCTTGCTGCAGCTCTCTCAAGACTCCTAGAGGTGCAGACGATGAGCCAGCTATTGAACTTTCGCATGAAGTTGTTCAGTCTGCGAGAGGAGCCCCCAAGATGAAGACGCATTTCTGTGAGTCTGTGAGTTTCTTTGCGTTTCTGAAGATGTTCTGAAGCCCAAGGCTGTAAAAGCATGAGTATGTGTCTAAGTACGCGTGTATCTCAAGCTGCGGCAGCACAGGAGCGCGTCATGCAGCCTCGGATGATCGGCAACATGCTCTCGTCCATGCTGTGAGCCGGCAGAAGAAAGTTCTCGTGATCGTGAGTTTCACATTGTTTCACCGCGTTTTCAGAGTAAAGAGAGCCCACATGTCTCTCTGTCAAGGTATGAGAAGCGTTTTGGGCCCTGGTTCACAGAGCCGGTCGTGGCCGGGCTCGACAAGGAGCAGAATCCGTGACCTGGCCTGACTGAAATTGTGGTGGTGCACTGCTGTGCGCATTCAGTTTGAGTGAGTGGTCTGTGCGCGTGTGTGGTACGTGCGCGGAGTTTGCGTGGGGCTTTCGAGGTTCATCTGTGGGTTCGACTTCATCGGCTGCCTGTCTACTGCAGAGGAGGGCCAGTCACCCTGGCATCTGCTGGCCTCTCTCACAATGTCAGGGAGCAGTGACAGGTAGTGCTTGCAGGCGTTCGAGAAATGTACAGAAGTTTCTGACCGCAGAGGACTTTGTAGTGTCTGGCACGACTTCAGACCAGCTCTTTGGTGTCTGTGAGTCTTTCTGGCGCCCGGGTCGGGGTCCCGAGAAGTCAGTCACTGCTTTGCGTTTTCCGAATCGCGCAGATTCGTGTAATAGATGTAATTAAGTGAGTCTAAGCTCTTCTGACTGCGCTGAGGCATGAACAAGGATGAGCTGTTCGAGACTCTCTCCCAGTGCTCTGACCATAAGTACACGTTGTGTGTTGCCATAAAGCCGGCTCTGCTTCGTGTGGTGAATCTTTGCATTCCACAACCGCAACTTTGAACTTGTCACCTCTGACATATCGTTCCCTATTCTTTGACAGCTTGAGTGAGCCTGCGTGAACGCCACAGTCCTCCATGTTTGATCGCAAGAAACGTGCCGAAGCATGGCGAAGCACGGTGGAGGTGCCTGCTGTCCGGCGTGGACCGAGACTGCCTAGCAGGTCCAAAGCTCACAAGCTCCCTTGTTCTGGGGCAGAAGCCCAGAGACTCTCCTTAGCATGCCCTTTGCAACTGTCTTTCGAGGATGGGGTGGTGTTGTCCACATCATCACGCCTGACGAGATCATCACAAAGAAGCTCAAAGGACGTGCGCGTCTCATGGCTCTTCTGTCTTGACAAGAATACCTCTCCTTCGGCAAGAAAATCCGTGCTTCATGCCCAGGCATGGACTAGACCCCCTTTGTCGTGGAAGTGAGCTCGGAAAGATCAGAAAAGGTAGTCCTTGCGGCAGCCAGCAGCTAAGGCTACGCACAGTGCAGTAAAGCTGTCCAAGCATATGACACCGCACTGCTGAAACATACTGGAACTGCAGACGCAAGGAGCTCAGCAAACAATTCGAGAAAGTAGCTGCTGATGACAAGCGACTCATGAGACTGAGAGCGCCATCTGTCGTGCCCGCGAGAATTCTATGAAGCATGCTAACTGACAAGCTCGTCTGTGACATGCGCGGAACGCGGCACTTCAGAACCAAACCGGCTTGCACAGAGAGCGCAGCCTGGCGGTGTGGCCTTCACAGAGCCAGCCTATTGGAAGAAGAACATCGGCGTGTGCCGCTTTCATTGTAAGCACGGCTTCGCCTCGACTTTGTTTTGCTGCGTGGTGACGTTTGCAGCGTAGACCATTCAGACCCATGCCGACGTCGGCTCAAGCTTCATCATGTATGACAGATATAGTTCTGATGTGGCTTAATTAAGTTCCTGAACGCCGCAATTGCTCTCTGAATGCAAATTTTAAACCTTGCAAGCTATTTGATGCTACTGTATTTGTCTTGCCGCCAGCCCAAGACGCTTGCATGATGGCAGTGATGTGGCGCGTTTGTCTCCTGTGTCTTGGGGCACAAAGGTATCCTCTGGTGGTGTGATGTCCAGCAGCAGGAGTTGTAGCAGGTTCGGTGCTGACCCGTCATACTTGTTCGTGCACGGAGCATTTCCCGAGGTCACTCTGCAGCAGAGCGCTTGCTGCTCCAGAAGGGCATGAGGTTACCAGCCTCCCTGGTTGGTCGGGTGCCCTGCTCTCCAAGACATACTCAGGTGCCTGTGAGACTTGCAGTTGGTTGTGTTGTCCACTTGTTCTGACAAGCCAAGTGCCCATGGCAGCCTTGAATCATTCAGAGTGTTGGAGAACTCTTGAGTCCAGAGGATGAAACGTACCATCTGGGAACCTTTTCACCTTCATCTCACCGTCACCTCTTCTTGGCAGGCCTCATTCCAGCGGGCGAGGAAGATGGACACAAGATGTTTGAGCACTACTTATTCTTCGAGAGTGAAGGCAGTCCGACCAACGACCCGCTGCTCAGCTGACTTTCCTGTAAGGCTGCAGCTTGCAGGTTGCAATGAACAAGAACCACAACAGACTAAATAACACTCACGACAGTGGTCTGACGCATGGGCGTTTGTTTGTCCTCCCAAGGTTTCTGTCCTCAGACTGCGCAGAAAATTCGGGAAGACTCTAAATCCGTCAGACCAAGGCTGATCATGTGGACAAATGGTGGCCCTGGAGCTTCTTCTCTGCTGGGCTCATTCACGGAGCTGGGGCCATACTACTTGGCAGATGCTTCCCTGCAGACGGAGGCTTCTTACACAGCTTTCGCACCCACGTATTGTGTTGCCCTGGAAAACGCTGCCCCTTTGAAATTGCCTTCCAGCAGGCCTTTCGGGCTTCCGGGGTTCCCACCCTTTTCGAGAACTCCTATCGCTGCCCGGCTGTGAGAGATCATGAAAGGTCCATGGTGGCCCACTGCAATTGCTGGAAAGGCTTCATCGGATTGCTCAATATTGCTCATGCTGCGTATTGTTGCATGTTCTAAAAAGGTTGGACAAAGCTCGGCTCGTTGCTGATTCGCAACTTGCCTCCTCCCGTGGGGTTCTCCTACTGCACTCCGGCTGGACCAAGCGGAGATGGCTACAGCTGCGGCTCGTGGAATGACACCAAAACTGCCAAGCACAGCTTGGCCTTCCTGCAGAACTGGATGACAGCCTTCCCAGAGAGACTTGGCGATCTTTGAGTCTTTGAGGATCCGCTGTTACTTTAACGTTTATGTCAATACATCTCGCCTTGTCTTTGCTCCACCGCTGCTCTCCCAGATATTCTTCCAACCGGCTCTTCATCATCGGCGAGTCCTATGCGGGCCTCTACGTACCAATGTTGGCACAGCAAGTCATCGAGGCGGGCACCATGCGCCTCGAGGGCATTGCCGTTGGCGACGGCTGTCTTGGCGGCGGGGATGCTCGGCTAAATCGAGCTGCAGAGCACATGAGAGCCGCCCAGCGCGAGTCGATGCTCTGTGTCAGAAGTATCTCAAGATCTCTCAAGCGAATTCGAGGGCAACGGGGGCGGGTGCGTCCCCAATGCCGGGCCTTACTTCACCGTCGAGTTTTTCCATGGCCATGGCCAGCCACCACCTCGCAAAGATTAAAGAGGCAACAGCCTTTGTTTCGGAGTTTCAGTGGACAAGACAAAAGTAAGTGTACAGAGATGTACAGAGTATCTCCTTTTAAGTATAGTTTTTCGTGATCTAGTCCCATACTTCTCAGGGTTCCAAGCTCGGTTAGTTGATGCTGAGGTTCTCGGACAAGACCTACAAGGAGATCCAGGAAGTCTGCTCCAAGGAGGACGGAGCGTGCTATTGAGTCACTTTTGTGAGAAGCAAAACTCTGGGGGAGCCCGGAAGGAGTTGGTCAATGGACCGAAGTCCGAGAAGTGCCATGCTGCTCTGGACAAGATGGATCGAGAAAGAGGCGCCTCTTCCTCATGTTTTTTTTTGTTTCGCTCTCTCTCTCTCTCTCTTTCTCTCTCTCTTTCTCTCTCTCTTTCTCTCTCTCTTTCTCTCTCTCTTTCTCTCTCTCTTTCTCTCTCTCTCTCTCTCTCTCTCTCTCTCTCTCTCTGTCTCTTTGCTCTCAGCTCCACAGCTCCGTAGCCCGGACTCTGTCCAGGCTACAGCTTCGACTACAACCTCTACGACGAGTGCTACGACTTCGACCTTGAAAAGGCAGGCTGCTCAGCCACAGCACCATGTGGCTCATGTTGGTTCGCACTCCGACTAGCCCTACACAGCCTTGCTCAAAGGGTCCAGTCAACCAGCGTCGAAGCTCAAGGCGAGAATGTGGATCCTTTATGTGTTTATGCACTGGGTCATTCATGGAGACCAGTGATCTTGCTGACCTGCAGACTACGCTCCTGGCGGGAACTCTCGATGCACCAGAACAGCTACTGGCACATGGATGGTGTCCTGCTCGAACAGACAACGATGAGATTTCATGTTGATACCAGTGGTCAGCACAGCGACTAAGCGAATGGACTGGCCCGCAGGTGCTCCCTGTGGTGGCACGCATGCCCTGTTCAAGTGGGTCAACACCAGCGTGGCAAACTCAAGATCACCGTTCGCAACACGTGCCAATTCACGTGAATCCTCTGGGGTGTGGCAAGCACATGCATGTCCAGGCGGTCAAGAAAGCCCTGAACGTGCCAGACAATGCCTACTTCTTCACCGGGGACAATGGTGTAGGTTTTACTTACAACTCGACGCAGCCGAGCCTGGTTCCATGGTACTCAAGCGTGCCTCGCCTAGACTAGCCATATGCAGGTGCGACGCATGGATTCCCTCACGCAGCATCCCACAGCCCCCCCAAGGAGGAAGCAAAGAAACTGCGGATCCTGATCTACAACGGTGATGCCGACCCCGGTCTTAACAGTGGCTTGGCTGCCCCCAGGAGCCACTCTGAACGAGCAGTCGCTGAATCGAACTGGGAAAGAACAGCCGCAGCAAAGCCGCCAAGACAGCCACCCAGCAACAGCTTAGAACTCAGCGGCATGGCATTCTAAAGCAATGGCCTGGTGTAGATGCCTGCCGAGGTTTCTATGCGCAAAACTGGACGTCTTCAGCTGGTATTCCGGAAAAAGAGTCCTGGCGTCCCTGGACACGCGATGGTAAGATCCGCATGGGCGGGTATGTACCTTGGCATGACTCATCAGATCTCATCAGGCTTTCTGTCGCCCAGGCTGAAAAAGTGCCCCAAAAGCAGTCCTCGGTTAGTGACAGGGAGCAGGATACCAGGCATTGCCAGGAATTGCACTTGCATTCCATCAACACTCCCCCAGGTCACTCGCTACGAGAATAACTTTGACTTCCTCACCATCCGTGGTGCAGGGCACAGCAGCACCGCACTGTGTGTCGAGTATTCTGCAGGTAATTAAGAAAAGTGTCAACTTAGACTGCGTTCGTGAAGCCCGTGGTTGAGATGGCAGCCCCAGCTCTGCAGGTGCAGGACACATGGTGCCAGAATACAAGCCAGAAGCCGCCTTCGTCATGATCCGGTCCTTCCTCAACGGGGAGGACTATCCGCGCTACCATCCGAGTGGTCCCGGCCCTTCCAAGCACAGGCGCGCGGTGCGTGAGAGCCCTCCCCAAGCCACTTGCAAGCTTCGATTGAAATCCAGATTCTCAACCTCGCGCAGGATGCCGGATCCCGCTCTTTTCCAAGTCTGACTTGGGGGGGAGCTCCAGATGCACAGAAACCTCATTGTCACTAGTTAGTAGGGTGCAGAGACGCCTCGTTGTGGTGGCTGAGCTTCTGTAGTTTGGTTTGCAGTGATCTCGGCGGCGCTTGGCTGTCACAGATGACAAGAATGGGACGCCGGAGCACTTTCATCTACTGAATCATAATCTACCGCGGCACTGCCGAGTGAGGATGATCATGGCATTCCTGCTGTCAGGATGCTGGATGCATTGCAGCGTTAGCCTCAAGCACGGAAGTGCAAACACGCAAATGCACAAGCACAACATAGGAACTTGACGATAAACGTTGATTCTGCGCTTCGAGCCTGGATCTGAAGCCCCAGTTTGTGTACGACCTCGGTTGAAGCTGCTACGCCTCTGCTTGCCCCAGCGCCAAGCAAAGCCGGCGGGTAGCCATGCCGCCACGACCTACACCACCTGCGCGCCTGCAAGGGACACTCGGCTTCTGCCCCCAAAAACCTGTCGGGTAAATTCAGGACGACAGCAACAAACTTTAACAGTAAGAAGTAGTAGGCAGGTGCAGGATGGCGCATGTTGGCAGAGGGGTGGTTTTCAAAAAAACCAGCTCGTTGGTTTGACCCTTGAAGTATTTCGGGGAGGGGGGGTGATACTATGGTGATACTCTGACGGCGTGCTTGAATCGAACCCGGTAACCTTTGCAACACAAGGTGGTTTGACTTGATTCACACACACATTGTTTCCGAGCCTGATTCTTTTCCCCGATCGTGGTGAAGGAAACCTGGGTTTGATTTTCATCGTCTGAACTCGCAGGGTTTCACTGGAGCCAGTGGATGCGACAGCAGAATACAGGGCTCCCTCAGCCAACAGGAACTGATAAGCTGTTGAACTGAGCTGTTTCAAGCTGCTTCTTGTACTCTCTTCTTGAACAAAGGCAGGGCTCACAGAGTCAGCCGGGACGAAGGACTCTGGGAGTCTTGGCCTGTAGCTCTGCCGCAAAGAAACAGCTCTCCAGTAGCTCTAAACAGGAAAACTCCATGGCTCAAGCCAGACTCTGTGAGAAATCAAGGGTATCAACGAGGCACGAGAACCAGACATGCCGTGCTCGCATGGTCATTGCGTTTCTGCCTGCCTATTTGGGCTTTTCTTTAAGTCTGCATTGACTGCGACTGTCTGATCAGACAGATCACGTTGCTGTTGGAAACCCAGGTTGGCTGGCTATGTATTTGCTTCCCCCCATGGTGCTCTTCGTTCCGCGCGTCCGAGCCCCTCGGCTCACACACTGTGCAGACTCAAGAGATCTCAAGAGTTTTTCGCTCCTTCGAGTGACTCGACAGTCTCACATGTGGCACATGCCGTCAGGTCACGCCTGACAGTCTGGCATTGGGTACTTCAGTTCGACTGCAAGCCCAAGACTCAGAGGCATCCGCTCAAGAAATTGACAAGCTGAAGGCGGGCAGCCTCGCCGAGCTTGCATGTCCAGCTAACACACAGGTGTCTGAGCAAGCTTAGGCATCCTAAGCTAAATCACAGAGAGCCGTCTGGATATTTAGAAGCTCCTGAACCCCCAAAGACACCACTTGTCCAAGCCTCATTCCTCTTCTTCAATGGTGTTATTCTTGGCACCTTCTTGCTAACTTAATATGCGCTTATTGCTATAATGCTATGCAAGCATGTCACCATCCCTTTCTATTCACCGTTTCGTTTTCCTGCTCTCCGGGGGGGCTTCTTTGAGAGCTCAATACGCTTCCGCAGGCCGAGCTCGAGTTGGCCCAAGCACGCGCAGCGGCCGCGGAGGCGAAGGCCGCACTCGCGGCTGCCCAGACCCAAGGGGGGCCCCAAGGGGCCGAAAGCGTCCAAAGCGTGGCGCCCTCCTCTTCGGGAACTTCGGGTGCCGAAGCCGAAGTACACGAACAAGGAAGACTAGAGTAGGAATCCCGGTCCTAGCAGGTCTCAAGCGAGACGTGTGAGATGTTTGAGTCAAGTTAGGATGAGAGAGCATGTCTAACCCTCTTCGTGTTTCATGTCACGATTTTTCCGCACATCTCTTTTTTGGTCTCCCCTTGCGGATTCTCCAGGTGACGTGACGGTTCTTGAGCCCGAGATCGTCGAGTCGACGCTGGATTTGTCAGAGTACTCAGAAGCGGAGCAGAGGCCCGCCCAGTTCCTGTACGGACAGAGCGGAGCGGCTTTCTTTGACCTCCTGGACCGCCTCGAAAACATCCCAGACGCGGGAACCACGGTTCTTGACGAGGTCTTGCGCGGTTGGTTTCTGGCGATCTATCAACTCTCAGCGGTGAGTGGCTCCGCCATCCTGCCGGAGAACGTGCCAGACGGAGTTCGAAGTAATGTGGCAGAGCTAGGAGACGGGAGGGGCAATGCAGGGCTGGGTGCTGTCTGTTGTGTGTATCCGCCTTGGCCGCAGGGCTACAAATTTGAAAGGACGTGGGCGCAGGCTCGCGTCAGCAAAGACGGAAAACAACAAGCAAATGCCACCCAAGTGGAATCTGAAAAGCCGACTCCGTAAACGCCCTTATCTGAAGACCCTAAACCCGTCTGGTACCTGAAAAGGCTCTGAAGGCCAGGCTAGTGAGCGACAAGTGCCCATAGTGCCACAGGCCTCGGAGGCGCCCCTCCGGTTTCGACCTCGTCAAATCTGCCCAAAGCTGCCCTTCGAGTCTCAGCTGCTACAGAACTAAGAGGACCAACAAAGACCAGGTAATACCTGGGCACGTACATGTCCCGTACATGTCCGGAAGGTTCAGAAGAGATTCGACGGACCACCTGCAAGCAACTGTTTCAATATGTTGCATACACCATCTGACCGTCATGGGCTTTTGGATCTTTCTGGTACAAGGCCCTTTTCTTGGCAAGCTGCAATTGAAACGTGCGCGCCAAGAAACAAGCCATGGCCCAGCCCGACAATGGCCCCAGCCAGGTGATAGCCGAAGGCCTTTGTGGGTGGCCTGCATTGCCTTTGAGGTATGTCTGTAGCATGTGACCATACAACTTGTATCATTTTTGTTCTTCTAGAGCTATAATTTTCCACTACTAAAGCCCAGAGGAGCGGCAATGGATGCCGACGTGCTGGCGACACTCTTGCTTGATGTGGAGAGGGGTGGAGACTGGCGGCCATGCATGCAACGACTGCGCAACACTCGCCTTTCTGTCATCATGTCAGATGCACTGAACTGGACAACGATCTTTCCGGATGGGGTTAACGAACGCACGGAGCTTTCCACACTCGAAAGCAAAGCACGCGTCGTTGACTTCTTTGCCAGCGACTCCTTCAAAGACAGCGGAAGCTGGTCGAATGCAGAGGTCTTGGCTGCTGAAAAGCTGATCGCCGGTGATCCGAAGCTCGCACGGGTCTTCGATAGGATTGAGAAGGTCAAGTCCTCCATCGCGGAAAATATCCGGGGTGCCTCCTTCGCCCCGATCATAGGATTTGTCGTGCTGGTGGCTGCGATTGTGTGCCTGTGCAACGGTTTCAATATTGGTTCCAATCCCGGTGGAGATGGCAATCTGATACCTGACCAGTCTCAGTTGCAGAACCTGCCTCTAGTAGGACTTGAGAAGTAGGGAGGGAACATGTTCCGTGTTCCAGTTCGCTCCGATTCAGAAAAGTTCCCCGAACCACTTTTTGAATCATGTTTCGAAGCAAAGACTTGACGAGAGCGCGCATACGAAAGACCGTACTCTGCAACAATCTTGCCGATGGAGGTTGCAGGGTGCATGGTTGCTGCCGAGAGCCTTCGTCACACTACTGGCACTTTGCAAGGGTGTGCCCAGCAAAATCAAGAAGATTTGCACATCCCTACCGACATGGCCATGAGTACAGGGGTCAGGCTAATGACACCTCCTTCCAAAAAGCAATGCACAGGAAATATTTGCGATTGCAATTCGGAAGCACAGGCACAGACCAGAACGCACTCCGAATGTTGCGTTTCGCAGGGGGAGGAGAACATGTGTTTGGCACCCTACCTTCGTCAAACTCAGCATGCGCAATCCTGCACCTTCACCCTGTTCGGGCTCTATTCTCGGGCTTTAGCTTTGGCAGCCGAGCCTGCCCCTAAAGTACCACCCTCAGCTTTTGTGAATGGGAACCGCAGGGTATACTCACCTTTACCAACTTTCCGAGGCAGGGGGTCATCCCTGCCACCGGCACCACGACGGGATCGCAGCTGATCGAGATCCTTGGCCAGCAAGGTGGGGCAAGTTAAGCAAAACTGGGCAAATGCATCCACTGTTCCCAGGTGCTTATGGGCATCTTCAAGAGACTCTTTGGCGGGTTCGGGGTCAAAAAGAAGGCCGGCTACTAGTTACTCGGGGTGGATGCTAGTGGCACATTTCCCAGCCTGGCACCGTCCACACAGAAGGTCCGGATCGTAGTCGTCGGACTTGACAACAGCGGTCATGACCTGAGCTTTCCACAGCCTTCTGCCGTGCCTGAAGCATGGGTGCTGAGGCAAGACCACTGTCCTCAACGCCTTGAAACCCAAGAAGGCCACACTGGAAACGGACCTTCGCTCAGACTTCCTTCCAGCAGAGAGTGAGAGTAGCTCTTGCTTAGGGCTTCGTGTTCCCTTGTGGCCAGCGTTTCTGCGAGATGGAGCTGAGGTGCCAACTGTGGGCTTCAATACAGAGGAGTTGTGAAGTTCTCGCCACTGGACACTTACCACTGCAATGGCCGCAATCTCTCTGAAGGCTTTGAGCTCTGCAGGAGTTTCAGAAACATGGCGTGAATTTCTCTGCCCTCGACATGCTGCGGTCTTAAAGTCTTGTTGAAGGCGTCGCATGCAAAGCAGAGGCTGACACCAACCGCAGGTCTGGGCAGAGCCGATATCGGAATCTGTGGGAACATTACTACGGCCGAAGTCCCATTTCTCTGCAGAATCCGAATGAGAAAGCGCAGAACTCAGCAGGGTTCCATCCAATCCTGAGGTGAGGTGGAGGGCATCATCGTGGTCATCGACTCCACAGACAAGCTTCGTTTCGCAGTTGTCAAGGCAGGCATGCGCAGTATTAGCACCCTCCTGTATAATTTGTTAATTACCCTAAAACCCTAAGCGGGACAATTCTATATCGCAGCTGCAGGATGAGCTGGAAACCATGCTGGCAGACCCCAGAATAGCTGAGAAGAAGATGCCCATCTTGCCCCTCGGCCTTTTCCGGCCCCGCACCTTTCCGTTCAAACCCCCGCAGACTTCCACATAGCTCAGCCTCAGTATACCCCAGAGCACTGAGGTTCTTGAACAATAAAGTTGATCAACCAGCAGCTTCGCCACCGCAGGAGACAATGCAGGCAGGGGGGTCATCGGGTGATGGAAGGGCAATAGAACCTGGCAACTATAGTAGAAAAGTAAGAAGACTCTCATATGCCTCATATGGCCTCGTATGGCCTAATATGGCCTCATATGGCCTCATATAGCCTCATATGATGTTCACCCCTGGCACCCCAGCACCGACAGGCTCTAGGCCTTGATCGCATCACCGACAGGCCGGGCTCGGAAGCACCTTTATACTTTTTTAGGAGTTGGACATGAATATCACACAGAACAATAGTACTGGTACCAGCCATAGCAACTATTGCAATAACAGTCGATGATAGCGACAGAAGTAGTACTGACTCTTTCTTGAGTTGGATTCTTCTGTTTTTACAGACAGGCCCTGGCAGCTCTTCTCCTGTGATGCCCTGAAGGGCGACGGTGTGGAGGAGGCAAACATCTTGCAAGTTGTACCAAGACGGGAGGGAAGGGCGCAAAAAGGTGCCAAATTGGGGTCAGGGTTGAGTATAGGGTTTAGGGGGGCACGTTGAGCACATATGCAGGCTACTGCAGCCTCCCCCGGACTGCAGGCAATAAAGTGGCTGGCGGAAAACATGACCAAGTGAGGTCGCTGAAGGCCACCTCATGAGTGTGCCTGGTTTCATGGTTCGGGAACTCGTCAATTCTTCATCCGCGCCGCCAAAGGCATTTGACTGAAATCTCGTTGCTCTCGGTTCGCATGCGAGGTGGGCGTGCTCTCATGTGTCATCTCCTGGGTGTTGGTGGAAGGGCAGAACTGTGTGGTGCATCTGCTGTTCCAAGGCCAGCGTGCGCGAAGACCTCCATGCGAGGAGCTTCGAGACAACCACGTCCCTGCTCCTGGGCAGTTTCACACCATGCACCACCGCAGCAAGCAATCGAGATAAACGGTTATGTTAAGGCTGACCCTAAAGATCTCGAACCGTTGGTCACCCTGATTAAAGAGGTAGAGGTATGGAGTCCGAAGCAGCACGCAGGAACTCGCATGAATGTGCTGGCACTTCAGTATCTTAATGACTGACATGGTATCGTCGTATGCATCATGCTATGTCAAGACTGCACTGGCTGTTTGTGGGGCGGCGTGATGCTAGACGCCATCATCCACAGCTGCTGGAAACCAATAGACTCAATGCTGCGCTGCAGAAAAGGATGACACCCTGCACCCAACGAAAGGGTGCAAAATCGAAGGAATGGGTTGCAACAGCTACATACAGAGATGTAGTTGAGCTGTATCGGCGCTCTGCACAAAGCTGCGGCTCAATATCAAAGTATTGAGTACGACATCCGTCTGGACCCCCTTGATGTTCGCATGCCTGGCATTCAGGCTCCGTCTGAGAGGGCTTTTTCAAAGAGCCTTTGACACTGAGACCACCTGTTGGGCAGGCTCAGGCTGCTGCTGGAGCTTTGAATCTGCATGAAGGCCATTGCTTTGTATGCCCTTGCCGACATAGTATACATAGACTTGGAAGCACATGTCTAGAGAAAGCAGGGACACAAAATGGTGAAACAAAGGGTAAGAACAGATGCTAGGTGCTAGCCCTGTAAACAGGCTCACCTCTCCTGCTGGAATTTGTCAGAAGCTCAGGGTTCCCTTGGAGCATGCGGCTCAAGCAGCATGTGAACCCGTGAACCCTGCTCAGGTGAAGGAAGTTCACGATTGCAGGCCCTTCCTGACTGTTTGCAAAAACCTTATTTCAGAGAGAATGAAGACCGTGTCCCAGGTCACAAGGGCCAGAGGAGCACCCATGTGCAGACACGTGTAGGTGCCACGTGAAAGTTGGCGATAAGTTGGCGAAGTCTTGCGAAAACGCCGTTTGACACTTGAAGCCCTTTTTTTCGGAGATCAGGTGCCCACGCGGCCTGCGCCAACCCACCTTGCCGGATGCAGGACTGACCGAAGGTGTAACTCTGGGAGGCATACTCGTACCATCTCGTACCCATGCCTGCATCACACTGCAGGACCTTCGAAGAATCGTTTCTTGGCAGCGCTACGCAGATCTTTTTGCGGTCGGGAAGTCACCTTCTCTCCATGGACTCAGGAACCACCGGATATCCTCTGTGCCTACTTGGAGCATGCCATCCAGAACACGACCAGCCCCTCGCCGACGTCATCAGAACTGAAGCAAAAAGCGCATCAAAGTGCAATGCAACTCACACGACAACAAGTTCTGTGCCACCCAGATTTTGGACTCGCAGAATCTAGATGCGAACGGGAGCGCCTTAAGCACGCAAAATCCTGATGCCGTGCGCCGCAGTGAAGGTCAGAGGGCTGCATTCGCGCAGCCATCCGCTTTGCCGATCCGGAGAAGAGTGCAATGGACCAGCAGGGCTCACATGGGTGGCTCGCCAGCATTCTGGCAGAATGGTGAAGTTGGTTTCACGACCGCTGCTTCCAGGCTACAGACGGCCTGTACATGTACATTTCGGAGTCGGATCCCTGGGTCTGTTGGTCAACTCTCGTTCTTAGTAACAGCAAGTCACGCTTCAGGCCCTCCCGTATCACCAACTCTACAGGAGCGACGATAGCTACTGCATTCTGCTCCACAGCTGCTGTCAACCTCAGCAAAGAAAGTCACCCATGCTGCTTGAGCTTGCCGTAGGAGGGCGATGCAGCTGCTGGATCTGGGAAGGATTGTGCAAAAGCGCTCAGAACCTCCAAAGCTTTCTCATCTTTCAACCTTCAATGCAAGGAGTCCTCTGCAGAGGGCGATGCTGCTGCCGGCCGAGAGGCCGGTGCCTCACAATGTCCACATTGCTTTGACGGCGTCGTTGTACATCGTTGCATCTCCCTGGCCCTCACTGTCTCACGGAGGCCGCATGGGCCGCGGTCGAGGCGCACTTGCGGTACACTTGCTGAGCGGCATATTGTGGCCCTTTTCTTTTTGTTCAAGATCCGCATTGCCACCGTACGCCGGGTTCAGGCTGTTGGCCCTTTGTTGGATGCCCTGCAGCCCGTGCCGGGGCGGCCGGCACACAGTGAGGTGCTGGCCTTGACGAGCAAAAAATCGAGAGTCGAGGGAGATGGAGGGAGAGCCACATGTGAGACTGTTACCATCGAGTCTCCGAGAAGAAAGGCAGAATAAGATGTATGGAGGGTAGGACCCAAGCCCCACCAAGGCAGAAGCTGCCGGCGGTCATTGTGCATGGGGTGAGGCGTGCGGCGCGCGCAGCGTGTGTGCGATGCTTTGAAAGCTCCGGGGCTCTGGCATTATGCTTGCTTTGAGTGCTCAACCGCACAGGCTCTTCTGCAAAGTGGCAATGCCGGAGATGCTAACAGTTGGCACAGTCTCTCCAGGCGGGCCTTGTGGGTCTTGAGCTGTGATGGCCTTTCTCCCACTATTCTTTGATCAAGCGAACTCTGCTGCGGAACTCGGCTCAAGATTCAAGACAGGATGCATATGAGACGACAAACACAGACATGATACGACAAACACGTACTCAACCGCGGCGAACCTGATCGGGAGCGGGTGTTCAAGGAGGCTAGCACCGCTTACTTGGCATATCTTGGCATCTAACCTTTTGTTTTCCGTCAGCATGCTGTGGCGCAATTCGGCAGGCAGCCTTTCTGCATGCCAGCTTTGTACAGGAGCTTGGCACGATGTCGGAGCTTTGCCATTGCAGGTGAGTCGATGACCTGCACATCTTGGACCACGACGTCACGTGCGGATTCAGGACAGATCCCAATCGCAAGCTCAGCAGAAAGACTTGCCCAAGAGATTACTGGAGCCTTGGTCGCTGCCTGGCAGGTAGTTCGCTTGGAGCTCGCAGAGCAAGCTTGATGCCCGGATGGTTTCCAGATGGCATGTCACAGCTGCAGTGGCTGAACTGATGCAAATCGAGGCCCCTCTGGCTACCTTGGTTTCTGCATGGGTCCGCGTGTGCCTCAGAGCCCCTCCCGAACACTGTTCCTCCGTCAAACTCATGCACGGGGGGTCCTCAGGAAGGAATCCGTGGCGAAGGCCGTGCCGCAGCCGAACCTGGGTCTGCAGGGGGCCCAGCTCCTGACCCCTTTGACCCCTTCTCCAAAAAAATGAGCTCTTCAACAAATTGGACAGGTGCGGAGTGCAGACGAGCGGCCGAGAGCAGGACCATGAGTTCAAGGCTCGACGACATTCTGTGACAGCTGAACATTTTCAGCCAACCCCTCTCTGTATAGCGAGACGAGTGTGTTCCCTTTCACTTTCTTCCGAGCCGGTCCCTGCAGGTTCTTCGGCTTCCGCGGCTGCTGCCTCGGAGCCTTCGTGACATGCGCAGATCCCTTTAAGCCTTCAACCGGGCGCCTGTGATTTTCAATGCCTGTCAATGCCCGGTCCTAGGTGTGGTCAGTGCAGTGCCCCTGAGTTCGAACCCAACATCGAGACTGAGCTTTCCTTCTCGAGCTCTGACAAGGTTCCCCCGAGAGTCTTTTCTTGTTGGTCGTGTCTGTCGGAAATCTCAAAGCTTTCTGAGGCTGTCGGCAGCAGCAAGTCCATCCTTCAGAGGCCATGCGAACCGTGTTGAGATGCCTTGAGACTCAGCCTTGAGCTCACGATGCCTTTTGCCCTACTTCTGGGGTGAAAGGAACATCATGGTTGCCAAGACGGTGATCAATGACATCTACCGTGATTTAGAAAGCCGCTGTGTGACGGCACGTGCCTCACATCGTGCCTCACACTCGCTAAGACCTCTGCGTGACCTCGAGCCGAGAGACTCAGGAGCAACGGCAGTATGAGGACTCCGGCTCCAGCCCGTCGCAGCAGAAATTCAACGTCTGGGCCACGTACACCAACAAGGCCAAAAGTAGCTTCCACGACTTGCAGCCCACGATGCCAACCGATAAGTCGATGTTGGAAAGCAGGCCCGCTTGCAGCACTTCGCAGCCGAGTCCCTTGCCTTCGTCCAGCGGAACGCCGAGTGCAGGAAGCAGCTGTAAGAGCAAAGTGCTGCTTCAGCCGTCTGGGTTTTCACTCGAGTACCCTGTTTGCACCGGACAGGAGCCGATTGACGCGTCCTCAGAACTTGGTGAACTTCATGCTACCACATTTGAACGTCCATCATAAAGGGCATTTCCCGAGGCTGAATTCCAAGCAGCTCCGCTTCCTCATCATGTTGCAGCACCTTCTCAGCGAGGACAATCTTTGCAACCCTGTGAGCAAATAAGAAGCAGCGCTTGTTAGCATACGAACTGTCTGAGAGGGGTTTGTGGCGTCTTTGCTGTCCTTGGGAGGATTGCAGCGATGCCAACCGGCCTGAGTCGCTCCGAAAGCACCAGGCCGTAGCTGGGAGCTTTGTTCTGCCAAATCTTTATTCATACATACAAAATTAAAGCATAATATGTGCATAGACATATGTATATATTAGTATTGGTATATTAAGCACAGCACCTGCACAGCACATGCCCAACAGAACCTGCACAGCACCTGCGCAAATCATGCGTAACTGGCAATGCTTGCTCTCCCCCCTCGTCCCCCCGATGCACACGAAATCATTGCATCAACACACATTGCTAGGAAGGAAGAAAGGAAGGACGGATCTTTGGGTTCAATTTCTTTTGATCCCATAATAAAGAGCATTCTGCCATCAATAGGCATTTTTTATCAACACCCATTCGAAACTTTTGAAACTTTTGTCTGACCTCTGAATCGTTTCCAAACCAAGCATGCGAGCGTTGATTTGCCAATGGGCTCCCGTCCCACCCCAGTCTCCCGCTCTGTAAGCTCTGCAAGCTGCCTTCCTATAGAAACTCGTCGAAGGACATGTAGCCTTTCTCGTTAGACAGCAGTGATATCACTAACAATCCAAGGTGATCCGGGGCAATGTGGTTTCATACCTTTCATACCCTGCAATTGCCCAGAGCTTGCAGTTCGGACAGCCTCCAAAGGTCTTCTGGCAAATTGTTTTTCATCTTTCGCCCATCCTATACAGATACACAGTTCTCAAGAGGGGAAGGTTCGAGAGTTCGAGACAGTTGTCGTTATGCGGAGGTTCGACGTGTGTGGGCTTTGTTTCACGGTGCAGTTAAGTCGTCAACTCAATTCATCGAGTCAGAAAGTCCGAGTGCCTCGATCGCTGGATCATGGAAGCAGCTCACTTCATGTGCAGGACACCTTTGAAGGGGTCCTTACGGACAGCGTCAGCTCGCAGTTGGTGGAGGCGGACCTTGTCAGAGTTGGAAGGTGCCGTGTCTCGGAATCGCAGCTCTCAGGACGCACATCGCTGTGAGTTCTCCATTGATGGCAACTCCTTCAGCTTGCAGGATGCACAACTGTTCGTTCATGCGATGACTTCATCTAGGTTCTGCACAGCGTCCGCAGCGGACATGTTTGCAACCGGGAGAAGCACACATCGCTGGCATGAACAACATTCAGAAGAAGTGAGTGCTTGTGTGTGCATGACTGCGGTTGTGCGTGACATTGTGCGACTGAATCCCTCATGGCCGAAGGACTTGCCGCACATCGACGTCGGCCTTGAAGAAAGGCACATTGCGAAGTTGTCTTGACGTTAGTTCGCTTTAGTTGCGTCCAGGAAGCGCCGCATTGCTCAGTTCCAGACAGAGCCGTCCCGGCTACATTTCAGTGTCGCAAGCTCCCATGAATGCCCGCAGATCTTCGAATCGTCGAAGAGAGAACTGGCCGACTGCCAGGCTTGTGCAGGCGTTGGAGACCTTTCTGTTGGGCCACTGCAGCCGCCGAGGGTCGGTGGCCACGAAGCCCAGCTCTGTCGTAGTGGAGAGATTGCTCTTTCGCTGTGAGGCTCTCTGCCGGTGGGACAAAGCGACTGATGCAGGCGGATTTCCACACAGATCAGTGTCACGTTCGTTATCATTATTCTGCGGCATAGAAACCTTCAGTATGTCTAGCATCTGTGAT